TCTGATGAACTTCGTCTCCTTGTTGAATTAAATAAATTTATCGAAATCCCTCTATATTTTAACATTAGTAGATACAATATACTTTACAATTAATAGGACAGATGTTTTATTATTTTATTCAGAAAACATCAGTTATTATAATAGAACTGAATAGAATTCATTAGGGATTTTATTTCTTCTTTTTCTCAAATGATAATTGTGAGCACCTTATTATCTTTTAATTTTTCAACTATACAAATGGTATTTCCAAATGATTATTGCTAAAATTATAATAATCTAGGTCTATAAAGTTACTAAGAGATAGTAGTAATTAATAACAAAATAAAGGCTTATATTCGCATTATCACCATTCTTATCAGAAACGATCCATCTTATAAAACGTAATAATTAAGACTTTAAATTCATTGAGTCAACAAAATTTAATAAACACAATTACGTTATATTTAAACTAAACCTAATACATCGATCACACCATAAAAATGGATTAAACTGTGGATCATATGATTTATTCACCTAAACTTATAATGTCTGATTCATGTATTTCTTCAGTTTATTTTTATAAACATTATAACGAGGATCTATGTTTCTTAATGTTAGTAGTACCTATAGAATACATTTACATGAAATTGTTTTATAACTTATCTTGCTAAATGAATGATAATGTAATAGGCTTTACATAAAAGAATATTGATAGATTTCATGGTAGTGTAGTGACCTACTTGTATCAAGAAAACTCGATTGGTTTAATGGAAACAATTATTATCATAACCAATTTTACCAGTGATTGTTGTACTGTACTTGTTTGTTTAACTGTACTAAAGACATACATTCTTCCGTTGCTTGTGACCTTGCACGCACTTACGTTTGCTTAGTGATTCCGCTTTTACTCCTTTGACACGATCTCGGTATTCTTTCGATACCACGAGATCGCCAACAAATATATATCGCCACAACCTCCAATCGCCTTTTGATATCTGGTACACAACCTTCTTGTAATGGTGATCACAGTCAACCGCGACTTGACGCCACACTACAGTAGATATCACAAAACCTTTTTATGATGACACGCAAATTTTTCCCAAATTACTTCACCTTGTTAACAACACTTGTTTTTAATATTACTTAAACTGTTAGATAGTTATTTCCTACATTTCAGGATAACTCTTATTCGAGAAGTTATTCAACATCATTTTTTCTCGAATGACGAATAAAATGGAATTTTTAAAATTATTATGATGGCTACTTCATGGCATGGTTAAATTAGTTTTCGTTGTCTATTCTTTAACATATATGATCATATGTTGTTTCAATAAATCATTCAGTAACAAATATGTGTGGTTCGATGTTACATTTACTAATTTTTAATACTTTCATCTTATTTTGAACAACCAGAGTTTGAAATATCTGCAACAATTTGTGACTAGCGTTAAGTAATATTCCAGACTAAGATCGTGTTCGATGTCTATATTATCCACTTTGTCAGGAATATTATGATGCCTATTCGTTAGAATAAATCTCAAGTAGGTATGTTGTCTCTTGGGAAAAACTAGTAATTAGTTATACACAACGTAGAGCCTGATAGATATGTACACTGGTTGAAGGTCCTACACTCTGATTGGCAAAGGGCAATTAAATCGTCAAGATAAAAGCCAGAGTAGTAGAGATTTTAATGGTTGATCATTGAGAAAACGTATGGATCTAAATGAACATATAAACCGGAAAAATGAAGAAAAAACATATAATACAAGTCCGAACCATCTCGTCCAATGATCTTTTGTCCGATCAACAGATTTTTTATCATTAACTAATACCTTGCGTTTAATATTAGGATTACTGACTCAATAGTCCTGACACATGTAAACAATTCTTTGATGGCACCCAAAATCAAGTACTAGGAAGTTACAAATATCCTCTTTTAAGAGAGAATTCTTTAAATAAATAAAATCGGACATAACAAACTGTTACCCGGTAAACTCTTCCTCTGGTTAGCAGACGGACGGCTCTCGTAGGCCACAAAGGACGCCATTTGGCAAAGTTAAGTTAGCTTTCTAAGTATGTGTGGAAATTTCGTTAAACACCAACCCACCAGAACTGATGAGACATCCAAGGCAATTGAAATAGTCGACGAGGTCAATTACTTTATTCCCCATCACTAGTTTGGGCGTTGAAACAGACCAGTTTTCTGGCGAAACTTTTCACGTGGAGGGATAAAATCGCATCGCCCACAGGCTTTGATAGTTGTCCAGGTCAATCAAAAAACTTGCATTTTGCCAGTGGCTTCACCGAACAAGACTATGTATATTTCAAATCAATAAGTGAATCTATCGGTAGGAGTTAAGTATAAACGTTCTGGAACTTGAAGAACGAATATTTAATCTAAACATCCACAATAGACGGAATACACCGACTGAAACATACAAACAAAAAAATTTGTTCAGCGAAGAGTTCTCTTAGCAACAAATTTACACTTGACGTCGTGCAGTCGTAAAACATAATTTTTCGTTACGGTGATCGTTAGTGAGCTCGCTAAAAGCACTGATCTCATGAACATGATAACGAAACCTTAAAAAACTGTCATTCTTATTAAGAAACTGGAAATTCGATTATTAAGATCTTGTAGATTTATTAATATTGTCAGACTTTTGTAGAATAATTGTGAAAAAAAAGTCAAGAAATATGAAAGGATAAATTGTTGAATTCATTTTCAAGTGATCTAATTGGAAATAGCTCAATCGCTATGCAGAAAATTTGAAAAGTGAATTCATTGTAGGAAATGATTTGTCATGAAATTTCAATCCAGTAAATTTACACTAAAAGTTACATTGAACGTGTTTGGAAATTCCGTTCAAAAACGTCTATTTGACAAACAACAGATTCTCAAATAAAATACAGACTGATAGTTCTTTTTTACTTTCACGAAGACATACCGAGCCATGCCTCAAAATATCCCTATACGATTCATTCGAACATTTTATTAATGTATCCGGTCACTTTGGAATTCACGATGAAGAAAAACAGTTTTCGGGATTATGTGTTGTATCCCGCTGAGTTAAATCAAAATTTCAGGCCTAATATAACTAGTGTTGTAAGCGGTTCCGCATATTTCCAACCACTGTGCAGTTGTTTACACTTAAACAGTTTTTACATTCTTGATATATGTCTACAATGCTCTGAATTCGATATGGGCCATCGTACAAACTTTCAGGTAGATTCCTAGAAAAACGCAATTATCTGATATCATGTTGCAACATTTATCCTATCAATATTGTGGATGCAATTAGTTTGAAGTTCTGGATATTGTCAGTAAATTCTATTTCATTAGAAAACAATTTGACCATCCCCATCAATTTCAACCGTAATTTATTGTATGTATATAAAAACAATAATAAAATTTCACAGCATAGAGTAGTCTATGCACAAGTTCTAGCCGTAACAAAAGGCAAAATCCTAGCTTCACATCAAGGTGTTCCAAGCGTTTTCCCAAGTACAAATTAGTAAAACTGTGGTTTCTGTACAAATTAATAAGCTTTTTAAATACTTAGTCGCACAATTCCAATTTCAGTACAATACATATAAACGAATTTGCTTATACCAATGAATATATCACACTCGATTGTTAAAAGTATGAAGAGATTGTGAGTTTATCACTTTTATTATTGAGTATACATATAAAACATCAATTTCCACTGATATTTTATTCTTACATTGTCCCTAGCGAATTTAATCAGTTTCAATAGAATTTATCTAAACCAGTACGTCACAAAATAGTCAGGTATATATATGATTACATACTTATTAGGGTAATGTTTCTGTTGAAATTGTACTACATTACATTTTTCAAACCTTAGATATGATATCCCAATCATCCAACCGAGTCTTTTTGTAGCACTGAGCAGCAATGCCAGGATGTTTGGGATTCGTTTCTATCGCTCTAAATACAAGTTGTTGCTCCAGCACTGGTCTGCGTCAACACCTGAACTAAGGATAGGGAGTTAAGTAGTCGAACGCGTTGACAACTTCACTTGTCTTGGAAGTCTGATAAGCCCTAATGGGTTGTTGTCTGACGAAATCTGTGCACGGTTTCGAAAATCTCGTTTGGCTTTTGCTAACTTATGTCACCTATGGCGAAGGAGAGATATCCGTCTATCAATAAAAGGACGAGTATACTGCTCAGGAGTTCGTTCTGTTCTACTTTACGACTGCGAAATATGGCCATTTAGAGTAGAAGATACTCGTAAATTGATAGTATTTGATCACAGATGTCTTAGAAATATTGCTCGCATCTGCTGGGAACACCGGGTAAGTAATAGTGGGGTTAGACGCAGGGTATTAGGGAATGATGGTAAATCAGTTAATGGGTTTGTGAATCTTGACCGACTGAGATGGTTGAGCCACGTGTTGCGTGTGCCTGAACACTAATTACCACGACGTGCAATTTTAACCGGTGTTGGGGATGGTTGAAAGAAAGTTAGGGGCGGCCAAACCAAAACGTGGCATCAGTCCCTGAAGTCACTAACTTCTAGTCTGAGCCACGTTGGTAGATGCAGACTACTTGATTGGGGTCCGCGTGACTATCGTAACCAATGGTTGGAGACTCTTGATGACAAGGCTCAGGATCGATCACAATGACGTAGGTGTATACACTCTCTGTCTTCCCTTAAACTAAGAGATTAAAATCACTTCATATCCTTCTTTCTACGTACTTATTCTTTCTTCATGTACTATGTTCTTATATGAAATCTTTTTTTATATATTACTACCATTGACTTAACTACTCCTATGAATCCGGTGTTTACCTTGTTGTGCTAATGAGGTATGGCAACTTGGACCGATGCATAAATGTGCCTGATCCCACGTTGTAGCTAACTGACTGACTGAACCGAGAGTATACTAGTTTTCAACTACCACTCTACATCGTTATAAACTCCATAACAAATATTCATTTGAAACACTTTATGAAACACACCTTTTTAAAAACAAATTCATACATATATCTCTATCTTTTACATGTGGCATACCTTCATGTGTCCAACTTAATCATAGATGTAAATCAAAATGTCTTATGTAATTATTTTATAAATAAAATTTATTATATTATAAAGCCAAAGTTTAATCAAACCTTAAATTCTTCATTTCAAAAAAAGGTATAATAAGTTTACTTGAGATTCATTTAAAAGAAGAAAAATAGCTGTAAAAATTAACAACAAAAAGAAAACAATTATTTACATAAAAAGAAGACGAAAAAAGAGATCCCAAGGATAACCAATAACCATATTCATAGTCCAATGGAAAAAATGGAATGATTCTACTTGTTTCTAAGTATTAACAGTATCTACTATTTCGATAATATTCGATTGATTGAAATCAGTATTCTTTATTTCTTTTTTAGTATAACGTGAAATGTATCTGAATGAACGAAGAAAAATAAACAGGATAAAAGTAAGCCAATAGAGGTAATTAATAGAAGTTTAACTATAACGTAGATAGATTCAATTAAATCAATTATTACATTACATCGGTGAGCATTAATTACAGTAAATGCACTGGAGTGCAATTAAATGTTTTCTAAACATACATATTTGTTGATATATATGAAGGATACATGAATTCGATCAATTATTCTATTAGATTGTAAATTACGTAAGAATACGTAAAAGGAATAAAAATGTTAGTATACCGTATAGACCTCTTGAGAAGTGAATTAATTAGTAGTTGAATTTAGTGTATTAATGTCGATATAACGTAAACGTTGCGTTTAAATCAACCTATCAACTATTATCATTATTATTATATAGAGAATACTAATAGTTGAGATTATGAGTCAATCGAAGCTAGATCATCATGGAAAACTTGGAAGCACTAGACAACCGTTTCGTCCTATTGTGGGATTCCTTCCCTTCTCACTAGCGACTGGCTTCAAGAGGTAATTCCTGGAGTTCTAGTGAGAAGCAATGACCAGTGGAGTTCAACCGGGTCGGTTGTGAGATAGTAACTTCCTGATGACAATGGTGGATGTGTTGCTGAATTTCGTGGATTGATTGAAGCTAGACACTAACAACGTCGGATCCAGGCTTAGTGTTCTAGTGGTTGAATGCCCACGCGTGAAACTGTTAGGTTCTGGGTTCCGATCTCGCGAGGCGTAGTCGTGGATGAGCACTGCTGAGGAGTCCCATTCTGGGACGAAACGGTCGTCCAGTGCTTCCAGTTTTTCGATGGTGGTCTAGTTCCAACTGACTCATGATCTGAACTACTGAAATCACTAAAATATATGCGAAAAACCCGGTCTGATACAAATAGAGAATAACCAAATATACAAATATGGTCGAAAAATCGTTCAAAAGAACAATTTTTAAATTACTTCTAGTAATCATGCTAGTTAAGTACAGTGAGATTTGATGTAATTCAAAATTCTAGTTCAGATATTATCCTCCGAATTATAGTTTTCTTATAACGAATATAAAATACTACGAGGTAGCCAAAACCGAAGTAGGCTAAAGGTTCGAACCGGTTCAGTGGTTAAGAGGTTATGCGCTCGCGCGCGAGACCAGAAATCCCGGGTTCGAATCTCGCGGGCGGGATCGTGGATGCGCACTGTTGAGGAGTCCCATACTAGGAAAATCGGCCGTCCATTGCTTCCAGGTTTTTCATAGTGGTCTACCTTGAATTGACTCATCAACTCAACTATTTAATAACAAATTTATTTAGTTTGAATAAATTAGTTTACTGATAAATGGAAAGAAAGAAACACTATTCCTTTCGGCAATAATTTTTTTCCAAACTTACAAAAGTAGAATAAAAGCAACTAAAGCTAATCCTGATGAGACAAAAAACACTGCACCAGAACAAAATGTTACCGTCGCTGCATAAATATACGGTAAACTACCAATACCAATAAGAAGACTCAAGTATTCAGATAGTGCAATCACAGAAAATAAGCTGCCTAAAAGAAAGAAAATATACAATTCATAACAACAATAAGACACGTGATATCACTATCAAAAAATATATCTATCAGAAATACAATAACTGCACTGTGACGAACCATTATCCTAAACATTATTGCACATCTCTTCGTCAATATAAATCCAAATCCATTGATTAAGAAGCTGAAACGATATGCCTCACGGCATAGTGAATCGCTTTAATCGTATATTATTAAATAAAAAGAAAATCTTACACCGAGTTTATATGGTATTGAGGATCTTCCTTAAAATCTAAACGACCCATTTATGAAATATATTTTAAGCATATAAAGAATAAGGGGAAACAAGAAAAGAATATGTATGATCAAGGGGCTAAACAGCTAAAATATATGAATCTAACTTTCCTGAAAACCGATACGGATTTCAAGTTTCTTTCGATATTCTAGATAGAGGTTTTATAACTAGGTCAGAAGTTTTATGATGGGCGTGGATATGTGGGGGATTTGAAGAAAGGTGTTCAGTTTGAGATTGTATTAATCCGGATATAAGACTTTGTAGTTGTAAAAAAGATGAAAATGATCGACTGTTCTAGTCAGTTTAAAAGCAATAAGCATCTCATATAAAACATAGTAACTAATAAGTATTGAGAAAACATCCGAAAAATAAAACCAGACGACGATTTAGTGACTCCCAACTGGATAAAGAATCAGGTATCGAATATGCACTAAAAGCTTAACAATGAGTTCTACAGACAAATAGATAGAATAGCAACGGGCACTTCCATAGGTTTGATAATCACCGACAATTTCCTAGCAAAACTGGAGAACGGGTCAGTAAATGATAGTTTGAATAAGTTCGAATAATACTACCAACACTCAGATAAAAAACTAATCATATACGGCAATGGTATCAATAAATAAGAGCTGTTGAACAGTTGTTCCTCAAATTCGTCTTCTCTCTGAATTAGCCGTTAAGTGTTAATTTGTTTTGTGTAAGTTGTCGTTATCGATTAAAAAGAGAACCGATAGTATTAGAGTAGCTCAATTATTTTCCTAATTCCACAAGTAGTGTATGCCCGTATCGAACCCTAATAACGTAATACAATAAAGCCAGTTAATTCATAAGTGAAAGGGAGCATGAAAAGATTTTAGATTTCCTTGATGTCCTCCTTTCCAGAAGAATGGACAACTCCATAAAAAAGAATCAATTTAAGAGGAATACATGAACTGGTCAAAGTTTCGACGACTCTCTCTCTATGATATTCTTTGCTTTTCATTTAATTAGCCATTAATAAAAAAGGTCATATATAACAGTTATCTCTGGTATAATATGAAGATTTTTATTTCTTATAAAGTTTACAGGTTAAAAATGAGAATTTTTATGCAAACCTTGATTTTGACAAACTTTAGTAGTCTTTTCTATGAAATTCACCGTATAAACATTATCTACAAAAGTATATATATATATATATATATATATATATATATATATATATATATATATATATATATATATATATATATATGGTTTGTCACAAAACATTGGAAGCTAAATTTACATAAATATTTAGTGCCAATGTAGTAGAAAGCAATGAATAAATGTGAACTGAAATAACAGATGATACAAAATACATCGACCACATGAAAATTTAACTTAATATCTAAAGTAAAACAAGTATTTCTATTAATGATAGTACATTGCATAAATTAATGAATGGATGAATGAGTGGACGAAACATATACATATATATGTGATGGGGAAATAGCTTGCCATCACAAATGACACAAATAACAAATAAAACTAAATGAGAAACCCAAAGATGGATAGTGACTAGCAGTGGAATCCAAGACGCACGTTTCGTCCTATTTGGAACTCGTCAGCTGGATGTACCTGCATCTCAGAGTTGATGTTCACGAGTTCCGAACTGGATGAAAAGCGAGTCCTGGATTCCACTGCTAGCCACTATCCATCTTTACTTAGAATGCTTGTGGGTTAAGGCGATATCGAGGCAGTACGCATAGTACGCACATATGCCAATAAATGACTGATCAATTGCAGTGTTAAACATTGATGGGAAGACTCAAGTAAACAATACCAAGTGAATTTAAATGAGAAACGATACAATACTTTGAAACATGAAAATAATTACTAGGTTGAAAACAGTTGAACAATAAGAGTAGTCAAGTCGAACATTGTAAAAGAAAAAAGGGAAATTAAAAAATATTCATATTATACAATAAGATAACTATAATTTACACAATGAATACTTGAAGAACGAATGTACCTGTTTGATGAAGATTGAATTTTAGTCCCTTTATCTAACATTTTTAACATGTGATTTCAACTGCTTTTTAGAACAGGTAACCTTCTACAGGTAATGTGAAACACCAGTCAAAAATATAAACCAGCTAGTGTTATAAATGCACATTAGTTTATATATCTAGAGAAGATTCTACAATAAGAAGCTCGATTCGAATGTGTGTACGCTGCGTATACTATTTTGTTTATAGTCTGGCGTTCTAGGCATTGCTACACTTCGACTGGCAAGATTAATCTTGAGTCGAGGTCGTGGTAATCTTAACTCTTATCGTTCCAACGATATGCAACCATTCTATCTTTAGTCTAAAGCCCATATAAAAGTATACGTAGGTAAGCTTCCATAAGTATATTACGGAGACTCAGTTTTATAAATCACTAACACTCAATAGTTCATAAACATGAATAATCAGACCACAACACATCCCAAATGAGGAATTATACTTTACATACAATCCTACTATTAGTGGTAGAGAACAGAGTAAATGGCACATAATCAATGAATTATAACTCGGAGATGGTAAAATGTTTAACAATAACTAATAGACCCCACGGCAGTTTACAATAAGTAGAATATAGAAATATAAAAGTCTAGTCATTTAATAATCATTTAACAGAAATATGAACAATAATATTTTGAAAAGTAGTTTTACAAGTTTTAGATTCGTCAATAATTTCTTCGTTACAACGGCTGAAATAACAGACAATAATCACAATTAAATATTGACGAAATCAGTAATGTAATAAATTCATCCCAACAATCGTACATATTATGAAGTCCGTGATTGGAAACTTCAAATGACATCACGATCTCCTACGTACATCCATTTCTAGCTTTCATCGAAATCTTGCAAATGTTAGTAATCGACTTGCATTCGCCAAAGTTCATTTCTTTTGATATGAAAACTCAACAGATACACAAGATTCTATATTTATATGTTTGTCTAACTGCTTACTTGGGTAGATAAACACTGACAATCTTGCCAAGTGATTTATTATACTACGTTAAAAATGTTTTTGAAGGCAGAATGTTTAACAAACAATGAGAGAATATTAATTAATTAATTATTGTTTAGATTACTTCATCCTCCAAGTACTTAGATAGGAGCCACACTCCAAAAGTGACGATTTATAATACTACCCATCTGCTCAAACAGAAGTAGGTGAGATAGGGCTTGAACATAGAACTTATTAGCTTACAGTTGAACGCCTTAAACATTACGCCACTGTTTCATTACTTCGTTTTCTTAATTGTAACCTTCTACTATAAAACATTTTTGTTGTTAATATTTCCTGGCTTTATCTTAGTACGCCACATGTATATGAGACTTTGTTGAAAAACATTTGATCCATAGTATAGTAGATTAATAGTGATTACTATATGATACACCAATTTTTCTGTGATGATCTTAATAGTACCCGTTATTCAAAACTAGTGTATATATTAAAATTTTAATCTCATTTGTTAAAACAGAAGTAATTCTCGACTATTGAAACTAAAATCTTGAGAATGAAAGATGAAAGATCACTGAGACAGTAAACAATTTTAATGTACTGTTATATATTTTTTCTAAAAATTAGTAATTAACCAAATGGGAAATGACCAAAACACTACATTCGTTAGGTACTTCAGTGTTAATAATTTAAACAAAAAAAGAAACACTTACTTTGAAGTTTGGAAGTATATAGAGATGATGTGAATGATTTGAGCACCGGTACAACAGCTGATCGAAAGATAGATACAAATAGACCTGTAGAACAAAAATATAACTTTATACACTTACAGTTATAAATAAACAGAAATAATTAAACTAGTGCATTATATTAACGGCGGCCTGCTTGAATATCTGGGCTACCTGTTTTTGCCATCTAATTATTTCAACAAGTTATTTATTTTTTCATTTTGTTTTAGCATCTCATTATGTCCATTAATCACATAACCTATACAGGCGCGTTTATGAAAAGCCTACGACCTTTCGCTGCACAAGTTACAAAAAGGTACTTTAAAAGACATCATCGTGGTGGTTGGCAGTATGCGTTAAAGAGAATGAACATTAGTCGTATGTCGATTCCCGAGCTGCTAAATTCTAACTGCCGATTACTAATCAACAAAGTGGACTATCTTCAATTGCTACTAAGTCAAAATATGTATCGTAATTGTGGTGTCATCACAATTCAAGAATCTTGGTTAAATGATTTACAGGACGACTGCCTAGTATCACTACGTGATTTCAAAATTTATCGTCGGGATCGACCAAACAATAAAAAGAGGTGTGGCGGCGGTGTAGCTACGTTTGTAAGCGTGAACTGGTATCGATCTTCGTTTGCGTGTTTCAAGTTTTAAAATGACTTTATCGACTGTCTAACTCAAAGATGTCGTCCAAAACATCTGAATAAATACAAATATGTTTATGTTACCAATATCTACGTGACTCCAGACTGCACATTATCTGCGCTATCTGTTTTCGCTGATGAATTCACTCAGTTCGCTGTTGCTGCCTTCAGTGATTCACTTTCAGTTGTATGTGGTGATTTTAATTCATGTGACTGTAGCTTCCTTACGTCACTAGGTCACTAAAATATAGTAGATTATCCTACTCGTTCGAATATTCATTTAGACTTTGTTTTGATTAATGATGTGGGTATATAAGTGACTCGTAAACGTGCTCCATTGTCTAGCTCGGATTACTGTATAATTCGTGTTCTACCTAAAGTATATGGAAAGCATGGGAAGAGTACACTCTCACATCAAACCAAGAAAGTCAAATATAGGAATTACTCAGAAAAAAATATCCGAAATCCGAAAAACATGTTTCATACGACTAACTGGGAATTATCTACAGATGACTCATTGGAAATCACTACTGATGTTATCACTTGTTACCTTAAATTCTGTTTTGACATGTGTTGTCCCACTGAAACCATTTTTTAAGTTTTGATCGACTTACATCTTCACAACTAAAACGACTATGGAGGGTGAAAGAAAGAATATACAAGGAGAAGAACTGTAATGAAGTTCGTAAGCTAAATGGGCTGATAAACCTGGAGATTAGACGTCTCAACTGTATGTTTACTCAAAAACTCTCCAAGTATGTGGAAACTCTTTAAAAAACTTATAGGTGACAGACAGACTAGGAGCGATAACCAGCTGAATGTTTGTGACATAAATAAGTCTTTTGTGCGTCAGTCATCTGATGTAATACTCCCTTCATCCACAGATCTAAAGAATAGCTGTGTTCCTAGTTTCACTGAAACTGATGTCCGAAGATGTCACTTAAATCATCTCGATGTTTGGGACCTGATGGTATCCCAAACCTCCTTTCTAAAAAATTTGCTGACGTTCTATGTTATCCATTCACGACTATCTTTAACAGATCCTTCTCATCTAATCTCATACCGAAAATGTGGAGAAAGATGAAGATAATCCCTGTACCCAAGAAAGCATCTGTTGATAAAAATGTGAAATTTAGACCTATTGCAATAACTTCACCCTTCCTCAAAACAATGGAAAAATTGTTAATACTTCAATTCAGCCTGCGATAAAAGAGCATATTGACCCGTATCAGTTTGCTTACAGATGCAAAAGAAACACCTTAGATACTGCCGCTGTTCTGCATCACAATATAGTGTTCAATTTAGAAAAGGGTCAGAAGTATGTTCGATGCGCTTTTCTGGACTATAATTCAGCTTTTAATTCTATAGCAAGACAACGTTTAATTAACAAGTTAATCAGCGTCAACACTGACAGCTGGATAACCAACTGGCTATGTTCCTACCTCTCTGGAAGGGAACAGTACACTTTATTTTGAGGAAAGTGTTCACAGTCTTTACTGCCTCATGAAGGTGTACCACAAGGAGCTGTTCTTTCACCTTTTCTTTTCTCCTTTTTTCTACATGATCTGCCATCTTCCACAGAAAACGCTTTTGTAAAATATGCGGATGATCTCACTGTATGTATGCCTATGTCTTCCTCTTTACATCCCATAGGAATGAATGAGTTTTTGTCTCGTATTGATTGTTGGTAATGGTCTTATACTTAATCTTATACTTCGTCTAAATGTCAAGCTGTTAACTTTAGCATGAGACATGAACGGCATCTAAACACCATTTTGAGATCCCATAATCTTTGTGCCATTGGAGACTCTTTGATAAACACAGTGTCAAAGGTCAATTATCTTGGTGTTACCTTTTCCTCTGATCTCTCTTGGTCTTCTCACGTTTTATTGTTATCGAAGAAGGTTTTCCGTCTGAATTACTACAATAAGAGACTGCATGCTCTTGGGATTACTTGTCATTTACTCTTACAATTTGTCACTTCTTGCATATTACCTATTATTCTTTACTGTTTTCCATTATTCTTTCCCGGGCTTTTAAGAAAAGACTTTGCTGTATTGCGGAGAGTGCTGAAGGTAGTTAGCAAGGTGTGTGGTGAATCTTTCGAGGTCATAATTATTATGGTTGTGGATAGACATCTCAAGTCATGCAAACTCCTGGCAGGTGTTATTTTATTAAATACTAACCATCCCCTTCACTCTTATCTTTCTCCTTGTATATCTTCTGGTAGAACGAAACGTAATTACATTAAAATCCATGCACGCAAGCAAAAGCATAAAAGTTCTATAATACCTTACCTAGCAAATATACTCTGTGACGAACAGGTTGTTAGAGTGAACCTAGTCAATAACCTGCATTCTCAACATGTCTCTAATTTGAAAAGTTTTACAGTTTAACAGATTTTTTAAACCTTTTTTTGTCTTTGTTTCTGTTTCTTTGTGTAAGAAACTTGTTGAAATACCCTGTGCTGAGAATTTCTATATTGTACCAAAATATAATATTGAATAAAGCCATTAATTATTAATAATAATAATAATAATAATAATAATAATAATAATAATAATAATAATAATAATAAACTACTTGTTTCAATGCTATTTAAAAGACTAGTTTACATTTAATTTTGCTATGTTACATTAACCACTGCACTAGTGTGGTCGCAGTAAATGATCACCTGGAGGACTAAGATATCCATAAATTTCATGCAATTAGTCCTCTTTATGAATTTAAACAAAGCCAGAACAAATATTGATGCAGAATAATATGAATTCATTATATTTCGTGGTTTCTCATCGTGCTTGCAACCAAATATGTATTCAGGTTTTACAATGAGATAAGAAATAGTATGGAACAATTGACATAAGTTAATGTAAAGAATTGGAATGACAAAGGTTATCAATGATAACCATATATATACAGGTCAGAGGTTATTTGGTGTTAGAGTCAAGATAACATTAAGGATGGGTGGTGTAATAGTTGAGTGGAGTTCAGAGACAGATAAATTGTGTGATAAATTTTAGAGGTAACGAAGGGTTTACATAAAATTCATGGAATATAAAAACTGATAAGATGGGTTACTTAATATCTGAATAGAACTTGAAGAGTTCACATAATTTAAGTGAATCAAGTGAGTGGAAATGCAAGAGTAAAGTGGTGGTTTAAGAATTCAGTAATGGAAGAGGAACATAACACAGACTAAACATTAACAAAATAAAACTAGTGACAAGAAAAATGGATTACCAGGGTAGTAGTAAGTTTATTACTATCTCTTTTTGATTTTTTTATCGCGATCGCTTCAGCAAAACAGAGAGAAGCCGTATTTCTTTGTCTGCTAATAATTTTAAAAGCATGAGGAATGTCAATGGTATTCCCGGTGTCAAGTAAATGCCGAGCTATTGCACTGTTGAGAGCCCTAGTCCCTTTCAGCCCCAATTTCTTTGAAACATGCTCAGAAATGAGAACATTCGGCTGTAAGCAGCTAATGAGAAAGCATGAAATATAATTAATTCATATTATTCTGGCTTCATTTAAGATATTCATAATTGCAAATTGATTGTTAGGATTCAATCAACACTGAAGGACTAGACATATATGACATCGGTCACTACTTAGTGACGAATCAGTTGTAAATATCTTAGTTCTATAGGAGATCAGTTACGACCCGAATAGATTAGTGGTAACAAAACAGATTTTGAACCTAAGTGACATGGATTAAAGCTTCACATGGACTATTACCTCCCTAAAGTTTGCAGGTATTGCCTTGCTGACGAGTATCAGCAAGCTCGAAGCTGAAATCTAGAATTTTCTGTCAACTACCTTCAACCCATTAACATATCAACATAGTGTATACGATGTCGTGTTACTTAAATTACTTGCCATATTAAAACTTAACCGACCAAAGGACTAGACGAATGTGACACTCATCACTACTGAGTGATCAGTCATTTGACTATATTAGTTTGAGCAAAGATAGACTAACCACAATGTCATAGATTCAAAGTTAATAATTCGTATTTCAGTTAGAGCAAGTCTTACTATTAGATGATGGTTAGAGGTAGTCGACAGGAAACCCTGGACCCGGGTTTCGTGCTACTTGGCACTCGTCAGCAAGGTGTATCTGTAATCTTGAGGGAATTGGTGCTCCCTGACGGGTTCGATCCCGTGTCACCCAGCTTCACAGTCAGAGACGTCACCACTGAGCTATCTGGGAAGTAACTCAACTGTGGTGTAGATAAAATATTCAAAAAAATGTCCTATGGTTGGATAAATTCAAAAATTCACTTATTTTTAAGATAATAAAACTTTTAACATTTTCATTATTTGTATATAAATTAATTAAATTACGTAATATGGTAAATATTACGAAACAGTACGGTAATTTTAAACAGAAATCACATACAAAAAATACACAGATATATCTTTTGAAAAACAAAACTTACTAACAAATACGGCAATATTATGGCCAGGTGAAGGAAACAAAAATGCTAATCCCATAAGCAATTTACTAATTACAATTGCAATCATTCCACATATTACATACTTTATCATGCGTCGACGTGCTCGCAATACTTCATTTTGAATAATTATATTCAATGAACTACTACTAATACTGTTATTATTATGATCAACTGAATCAACTTCATGAATAGAATCGTACCCGGAAACTGATTGATTAGTAAGTAAAGGTTCTGATGCTTCAGATATCCGATGCCGTTTAACAACTTTCATCCAATGAGTAGTAATCCAAGTTAATCCAAACGACAATAAACCCAGAAGAGTAGAATTTAATCCACTAATAAAAGAAAAATACTTTGTATGTTATTTTGTATATTACAATTAGACATATAAGTATTGTTTATGTAAACTATTATAATTTAACTTACCTAAAATAACCATATTGATCAACAGACCAATTGAATGGAGGTCCCATTAAATATAAAAATGTATATTGACCTTCATTATATGTAGTCAATGTTGTCAAGAACAAAACTGTTAAGACTAAAACTGTGATAATATTGGCATTTTGAACTAGCTAAAATAAATAAGAATAATACTGTGATATTTGAATAGTTTAAAAATTTTAAAAACTTTAGTCAGAATTGAATTTTATCACTATGATTAAAAACCTTTATTTACTCTAAAGAAGTGACGTGCATTAAGTCACGAAATGTCAGAAATACAATTTTTCTACTGATTGGGATATAACGAAAATTATATTATTAATTAGCCAGTTTATTGGACGTTTACTATTATTATTAATGGCTTTATTCAACATATTTTTGGTACAATATAAAATTTCTTAATAGTTTCATTAAGAGGTCCATTTTCTAACTTTGCTAGGAAGAGATCAGCTAAAATCGGGCCTAGAGGTAAGCCCATGACTATCCCGTCTATTTGTCTATAATAAGTATTGTTGAAGACAAAAATAAAAGAGAAGGTATAGTTCTCATGAATAAAAAGGATTACATCGAAAAAAAAGGAAAAAATGCTTAGTGATCCTAGCAAATTTCAGAAAGTTACTAGTAATTATGACATCAATAATAGAGTAGAAAAACAATTGGCTAATTTCCTTAAGGATCTAAAGAAAAAGGGAATAATTACGACTGACATTCATGATTCAATTAAGCCGACTGGATCATATACACCACAACTGTTCGGTTTGTCTAAAGTTCATAAACCGGGTCTTCCTCTACGCCCAGTCCTAAGATATGTACAATTCTCCTTACCACAAAATTGCAAAGTGGCTAGTGCGAATCTTAGAGCCTTTGCACAAATCAGTTGCTAGAAATAGTGTAAAAGATGTCTTCGACTTCACCTCCAAAGTGGAAAATATGAATGTTAGTATGAAAAATATGATCTCAGTGGATGTAGTATCTTTTTTCACCAACGTACCATTTATAGAGACTATTGAGTTTATATGCAAGCAAATATCAGAAAAACAAATCAACATTGGCTTGCCTGACGATAATCTAAAGGAACTGCTCTTAAGATGTACGCTGCATGTCCATTATGTCTTCAACAATATGAAATTCTTAGCACAAATTATTTCAACACGTTTGTTTCACAAAAAAAAAAGAAAACGAAGTCGGAAAACTGATAACTGCATACACATATGAATAAATTCAGTAAATAAACTACCTGGAATTAAATGAAATGCTTTTTACTAAGATTAGGATTTGTACAACCTTTCAATTAGAAACATGTTTAAGAATACAAGTTATTGACTAGGTAAACTCTAACGACCTATTTATCACATAGTATATTTGTTAGATTAAGTATTGTAGAGCATTTATATCTTTGTTTGAGTTCGTGGATTGTAATGCATTGACGCCTCATCTTACTATATGATATACAAGAAGAGAGATATAAATCAAGTGGATCGTTAGTATCTGATAACACTTGTTAGGGGTTTGAAAGACTTTAAATATCTATCTAAAAATCTATCTATCCTGCTAACTGCCTTCAGCTTTCCCCGCAATACTGCAAAATCTTTTCTTAAAAACCTGGAAAAGTGTAATGGGAGCGGTAAAAAAAATAATATTATACAAGAATAAACAAATCGTAAAAGTAAATGTATCCCTTTTATATAGTAAGTCAAATGGAAAACTTTTCTCGATAACACAAACATAAGAAGACCAGGAGAGATAAGAGGAAACACGCAAACCAAGATAAATGACCATCGACACAGTTTTCACCACAGAATCTCCAATAGTAAAAGCTTTATAGGATTTCAATGGGGTGTTTGAACGCTGTTCATACCTCAGGCTGAAGTTAACAGTTTGACATTTAAAAGGATTAGGTGTGCGACAACTAACAACAGATTATAGTTCAACAAGAGACAAGAACTCATTCATTTCAAGTGGATGTGGAGAGGTAGAAATCGACATGCATACAGTGAGATCGTCCGCATATTCAGCAAAAGTGTTTTCTGTGGGAGATGGCAGGTCATGAAGAAAAATAGAAAAAGGAAGAGGGTAAAAAAAGTGCTCCTCGTGACACAATTTGATGGGTCAGCAAAGACGTTGAACACTTTCCTCCAAATACTCTGTACTGTTCTCTTCCAGAAAGATAGGAACACAGCCAGTTGGTTATCCAGATTTCAATGTTGATTTTGACAAACTTGTTAAGCAGTAGTTGTCATAGCATAGAGTCAAAGGCATGAGTATAGTCTAGAAATGCTTATCGGACGTACTTGTTACTATTTCCAGGCTTAACACTATATTGTAATGCAGAACAATAGCAGCATCTGTGATACTTCTTTTGTATTTGTAAGCAAACTGTTCAGCTTCAGAAAAAATTATTTGGCAGGAAAAGTTAAGAGATTAATTGAATAATGAGAGGATGTGAAAGCGTTTATGGTTTTATTACGTAACCATAGCAGTCAAATAGTGACTGAGAAAATAAAAAAAATATCGGAAGTGATTTGAACTTTAATATACCGTCTTAACTAGTTCTAATTTATTATTCATCTGATCAAAATCCTTAAGGCTTAGGGTGAGCAACCTTCAGCTTTGTACCATAAGCCTAACTTTGATTAACATTTTTTTTACTTTAGAAAAATCGTGGCTTACAAGTGGTAATTAGTGAGACACTGAAAGAAAATTATACGTTTACTGAACATGATAATACTGGTTACTAAAAACTGGGTCATAGACCAATATATATGTGGTTTAACCGAGTCTTTCATGTTGCATCCTTGTTAAGTAGCAAATCAAGTGCAAAAGGTAGATCATGTAAACCGAAGTGCATAAATGTAACTTTAGGAAATAAGAATAACCAATGAAGTTTAATTGGTGATATACTTCTATGACTGATCATTTAATGCCTTTTCAAATAATCAAAATACAAATAGTTCACCATTCTCAGTGTTTATTGAATTCGCATATTATTGTATTTACTGGTCGGCAACATGAATATAACAAAGAAGGAAAATATCAGATTTGTAGTGAATTCTGATATGTTTAGATTGATTTTTCCCATGACGAAATATTTTATTGTATATTAAGAAATTAGCAAAAAATTAACCATGATACTTTTCATTGAAACGTCCAATAAACAAAACTTTACCGAACTATAATGAATAGCTCAATGTGAATATAACGAGATTGAACTACAAAAGTATTCATCGTTTATTTAATGTTCATAAAAGATAACAGTATAAAGAATTTAACGTTATCTATTTTGTTTCTGTCATTTTTAAATTTGGCAATATGAGTTTATAGTCTACTGTATCCAGTTTAGTGAGTTCATTTCAGTTTGTACTTTAATTTATCAACATTAAATAACAATTTGGATTTATGTATGATCTTAAGGCTAGAATTTTGAAAAAAAAATACTATTTCCAAAATGAAACCTGAGTACCATATGACTAAAACATGTGGTATTCTATTAACAAATATGAGTTTATTTTTTGAATCAGTAAACCTAATAAACAGTTGTCTTTCCAAAATGACGGATTGGATGATAATATGATAATCTGAACTGATCTATACTGCTGATACAATCAGTCAATAACAAATAAAAGTTATCCTTTTTCTTCAATCAGAACTTCTTATATTATTGTGCAACTGAGTAACAGGAAATATAGCTTAGTCTATGAATGAAAAGAAATAATATTCAGGAAAAAATACCACTATTTACATAGATTATGATGAAAACATAAAATCACAACAAACAAATTGACTTGATAATTGGTTTTGACTAATTCAACAACGGAATATTTTGTGCAACAGGATGTCGCTGATCATTAAATAGAAACATGAGATGAAACTGACAGTACAAAAATCTTATCATCAACGTCTAGTTATCCTACTTTAACCATTTGCTATCACTTTCTTACATAATTTAGAAATACAATCACCTAATCAAATGATACATTAGATAAGTGCAAACTCTTAAAAACTTCGTATATAATTGATAGTTATTTTAAAAAGGTTTGATTCTTTTGAAGATAAATTATGATACTAAACAGAAAATCTAGATCATTTCAAGTTAACATATGTAGAGATAATAAAACGGGAGTAAATAAACTACATAAGCAAACAAGGTTTGCAAAAAATATTAATTTTCTATAACTTTCAAACAAAGCAGGAATATCTTTAAGTCAATGGATATTGAAGAGTAGATAGTTAATTCTCATTCTAAACATCTACCTCACAAGAAATCGACAAAATGAATATTTAAACGATATTGTAGGCTTAATGCCACGGGATCCTTTGGTTAGAATCATAAGGTAAACGCCCAATAATTTTAAAAATTTGCTATATATTGTGATCTTTAGTCAGTGTTATGGTTTTTTTAACAAACTAACATAAATTTGTTGATCAGTTAAAGTTAACTGGAATTGAAAATGTAACCTCATTATTCAATAGTATTGTGCACATTACAAAACCTAAAGGTTCATGGACTTCAATTTCGTGTAAATTGTGAGTGCTTGTCATTGATAACCTCTGAACCGGAAAATACATTTGTAATAACTTACATTAATCATCTCGGTTGACTTCAAAAGCCAGTTTTTCTTATATGATTCTGACTGATTAGATGAATAAAATTCTGTATTACACACAGAGATATTACTATTGAAATTATTATTAAAAGAAGAGATATCAACTGTTTGTATATTGAAAGATTGTGTTTCTGGTAAACACCATAACATTCCCACCGATATTAAACAAAGAAATAACATTATCAAACAAGTTGTAATGAAACTATAGTGGTCAATAAGAACACCTAAAAAACAATATATAGAATTGAAGGTTAACAACAATTTTCATTTACAACTACTGAGTAAGATTATAAGGATTATTTTAGAAAAAAAATACGCGAAAATAAGCATTCTCTAAATAATATTAAACTGAGATTTGTATGGAATATGCTTAGAAAATTATTCTAATAAAAGCCAACAGATAATATAAAATATCCTGAGTAAACAATTTAACTCGGAAATCCAAATAGAGACTCATCTATAGAACTCAATTATAAATCATATTTTTTTCATGTAAAAATGAGTGTTGCTAAAACCTATTCTGAAGTACGATTAAATGGAACAGTTTCAACTTCTAAAATAATAATTTGAAATTGAGTTTTAGTGGCCCGTTATTTTGACAACAATTAGATCGGGTGGTGTTATAGATGGGCTCATCACTTTAGAGGCCTTATATCTGACATCACTTAGATCGTATAAATGATTATTACTGAAACATACACATGTCGCCAATCCTCGTAGATAGTCATCGACTTAACTTGCGTTAGTGAATAACGGAATTAAATAAATCAAATACGAGAATAGATTTTGAATGTGTATATTTTGTACACTCATTGATCTGGACAGACAGTCAGAGAGACGAAACGAACGAAGCGAAGAGAAGAGAGTGAGGTGAAATGACGACCGACGGAGAATGAATGTGAGCCAACTCAATTTAATCACGCGTTAATCGATATTTATAGTTGGATAGAAATACGTTACAGATATGTGATGAGCAGAACAAGAATTTCACACATACGCTTACATAAAAACAGTCAAGGTTGATAAGCGAATAATTAACAAGGTCAAAACATGACTCAAGAAGAATGAATAGATTGGCCTGTCCGGAAGCTAGAATAAGCTGTGTGTGCTTGATATAGCACTACAGAGTCCTCTAACTAGTTAGCTAATTCTACATAACTGAACACGTAATATTATTCAGGTTGCTTGTCGTAGTTGAATCGAAGTTAACCAACATAAGTTTAACACAACTTCATACAACACAGTTCACATGACAATTTTGACCAAAGCAAGAAGAAAAGATTTGCAGCTAAAGAAAAAATCCATACAATTTTAAGGTTCCGCATTAGCTGTAAACGTTAAAATTATAGCACACAGTAATCAAGTTTTAAATGATGGCTTGATATACTTTATTTATTAAGCTCGTGATGGATCTTTGAAACGAGGTAGAATATTAGGAAAGTGAATCAAAAGACGAAATTGAAAGCTGTACGTGGGATGATCAATTTTACACGTGATGAATTCAGTCAGATGAAGAAGAGGTGAAAGTTACAAATGATAATCGATAGTTGTATAATTATGGGTCATATTCAGGCTATATATTAACTGAGTGAGTAAAAGTCAGATTACGTAACAGGTGAAATTTTCTTATGATATTTATGTTTACCAGGGCAAAGTTCACCACTCTTCCCTTCTATATTCATAAATAAGTTATATTACAGCTTTAACTCCGCCTGTAGCACTTCTAGAGCTATGCCGGTCCCAAGCCCGGGTAAAGGAGGAGGGTTGAACAGAGGATTAGCGACCCTATTCCGTAGAAAACTAACTTGCTAAAAAACGTTAACCATAAAAAATGATTCAGACCATTTAAACTCTGCCCTGAGAGTTAGGTCTTCATTTAGAAGAGTTATGACGCCTCGTAGTGGAAGCCGAGTTCTTTCGGAAGTCACGAGGCTGATGCCCCTTCTGACAACCAGAGTAACCATTAGTTTAGATAAATGGAATGCTCGTACAAAGTATATTACAGCCTTCTCAAGAGCCTTCCGGAATTTCGAGTTATTTATAGGTTAGGTAATAATATATAAATGATTGCAAACAACAAGTTTCATGGGTCACAAAACGGTAACTTCAACAAAATAATAAGAAATAATATCGAAGCAAAACTAAATTAATAGAACTGGTCTATAGTGAGGATTTCGTATAATAACTCAATAGTAAACAATTAGTTATTTCGCTAGTAACAAACAGGACATCCGAGTCTCAGTTAAAAATGGTTGATACACTTCAATAAGAATATTCTTAACGTTTTTAATGAGATACAAAAAAATAATAAGCAACTGAAAAGTAATCGTATGAATTGATAAGTTACTGATAATTTTCACTTTTTGCATAAACTGAAATTAGCAAGGACATATGTTACGGGATTTTTACTCACCAAAATAAAGACTAAATCACATAATTGAAGTGTAAAGCAAATTTTGTCTACAGAAAGTCTCTATATTTATCTGCGTAAGCTTTTTTTAATTATAGATTCCGAAAGTTTTACAGATTTAGGTTTAACGTCTATTCACCGATAGGTATCAAAGTATTTGAGAAACAGCTGTGAACTTCATGTACCAGTCAGAAATACATGACTCTAATCAAAGTGATTAGGAGTTTTGGGCTTTGTCATTACGAGTTACTGATAGCAGGAATAAGCTCATTTCGAAAAATCAGATGGAAATTTAGATTCAACATCTTAAGTTCATAACCAAACAACATGGTCAATCAGACAATTTTTATAGACAATAATCGTCTTGACCTTATCATAAATTGAATTATGCAGCCTTAATTCAAAATATTCATTATCGATCAATAAGATATTGTTGTTTACCTACAAATATTTAGTTTAAAAGGTTGACCTATTCGAAATTCATAACTGACTGAAGTTAACAAACAACAAATCCTATGAGTCACAGTTAAAGCATAGAAAAGATCAACATTTCAAAAATGACTTCAAACAAATAAGGTTGTATTTCAATTATTACCTGTAACTGACACCACTGCGGCACTTGCTAAAACACAAACACCATCGTAAATTCCCATATACGAAAGTCGTTGACGTTCCAATGAAGCTTGTTGACATTTAGAGTTATCTAATAATGGCTCTTTTTCATCAGGAATCTTAGTAATATCAGCAAAGCAAACTGAAATTTGGCCTGAAAATGTAAGCAAGCCTCCGCCAAGAAAACCACACGTTAAATTTCCCAGAACTAATAAGTATAAATTCAGTTCAAGTAAAATCACAAGCGCTGAAAAACATTACAACATAGGAAGTGACCGTTATTTTCAATTAAAGTACTATTACTAAGCAAACAAAAACTGTTACTACATTGCTTAAGATAGCCTCTAAATATACTTATGCGTCGGTTAGGCTACTTATAATACAATGTAAGTGGTATTACTGCGTTACCTATAGATTAAGCAAAACCATAGGTAAAATCACTAGAATACAATTTATGTGAATATAATACAAAATATGTAAAATGTTAAATAATGTAAATTTTACCAATGATAAAATTAAGCGAAGAAATCTAGTGCATTTCTAAAATGTTTCGTACTAGGAAATAGCTAGAAAAGCTAGTAAATATAACTGGGATTTTATAATTTGTGGTTGAAATAATCGATACGACTAAAATTTGAATAGCCCTGTCTGATGCAGTTCAAAACAATTAGTCGCTAAATACTATTAAATTGTGCTCTGTTCAATTAAGAATAATGACTTTTACCGTGGATAAGAGATAGAATCGTATAAATTAACTAATTCAGGACCTGATTAAGAGCTAACAATATTCCCTTGCATCGTAATATGATGTTCACTAATGCCCAGAATATAAAGGATGATGCTATTCAGAGATCATTCCATTTATGAACAGTGAAGGGACATGTTCATAAACACTTAGTGACAAGGTTTTATGAGTGAAACCGATGTAATTAAATTCACAGGAGTAAATGAACTGAAGAGCATATATGGATGACAATATATACAAACTTCCAGTCCTTACTTTCTTTAATGTATAAATAATCCCACAATTTCACTATCTATAGTTTACTAATCAGGAGACAAGAGTTTTTAGGTCCTTTAATGGAGTGAATCATGGATACATTCATAGGTTATAAGAAAAATCATAAATTATTACAAAGTAATACATTTAAAACAATAAATACCTCTGTATGAACTGAACAACTGATACAAAATAACAGACTGTGCTACACAATAATATGCAGTCATATATGTTGAAAAAATTTAAAATAAATGATAACTTTACATGAAACGATTATGTTTGAAGTTAAACCACCAAACAAAACTCCCATCGCTACACGTCGACCATAATGATCAGAAAGTGAACTGATCATAAACGACGACAAAAGTCCAGGAATTAATAATGAAGCACTCAATAAGGGGAGTAAATGTGCAGTCCTCTTTTGAACTTCATCTTTCAATTCCTTGTCCTGATCAGGAATGGATCTATTAGTGAAAAAAAGTTACCGCAATTGTCACTCAATACTTTGTTTTGAAGTAAAGTTTAAAAAAATATAGTCCTGTTAATAGCTGTTTACCTCCAGAGCGCACAACTTTTGTCTAGTCTTAGACTTGGTATGAAATGTTTCTCGAACTATAGCCTACGATACAGTAAACCTATACGTTAAAATGTAAGGTGATACGTTTACTGCTTAAAGAAAAGTATGTGTTCTCTCTTAGAGAATTAACAACACAATTCGACGTTTTTACACAATACTTATAAATCTTTCTTCCTACTTTGAAACAGCATGACCAAATTCGTAAAATACTGTATCATTAAGCTTCAAGACTTCTGCACCGATTAACTTAACTATATTCACGTACTTTGAAGTAGAATACATAGGTAATAACTATGTAGAGATCTTAAACACAGAACTCAAGAACTATGTCGAGTATCCAGCAAAAAACTAAAAATGCTAAGAATAACCACATACTCGTTATGAAACACCTTGACAGTTCCAGCTTATGAGTGATGTTGGGTGCGATAGGGGTAAACAGTTTAATCAAAATAGTAAAGACATTAGATGAGGTTAGTGAACGAAATACATACCATCGTCAAACTGGGGAAATAAAATTATGTTGATAGGAAAAAAATGTTTAGTGGATCATTAGAACACAAAAATATGGAAAACAGGAAATAAATACTTGTTATCAATTTCATGGTAAACCGAAAACGATCAGTAACTACGGTAGATCTTTTTCTATTAAGTTAAACTGATGTCTTTCTGTCCATTCGATACCATGATTGACTACGGAAATCACTAACTTGCTGTCAGGCCACGGAAATCCAACAATTCAAAATGTAAAAATATGACCCGTTAGTGAAATTTCATATCACCTTATCATTGATAGATATCACATTTACTTTCGAAAACTGATGCTTTATAAACACCTACCTAGTAAAAACAGTATATTTTTAATGACTACTTAATTAACTAATAAGTCAACTTCCAATGTGAAATCCAAGTTCAAAAGGAAATTTTCCACAACAAATGATAATATAACAAAGCTTCACTGATACTTGAATGACTGATTCATGTATGATCATGAAAAAAAGTGTTAATAATAGAATATGTTGGTGTAGACATGTCAACTGTATTCTGAACTACATCTAACACGAGTTGAAAAGGAAATGAAGTACCTCACGGGACACTGACTGTCATGGACAACAACCGAATAATTTCTTCCTACTTTGAGTAAGCTCTAAATTATCAGCGGAAAAATAAGCCATGGTTGAAATAATTAATTATCCCACAACGACCAAACAAGCTAATCACTCATAATAACCTTCAACATACTTGTTTTGTGGAGAAGGTTCGTAGGGTAGACCTGCGTCCTTTAGAAACCTAGAACCATAAGAACGTAAGACAACGAGATAAATAAATAATCTTACTAAAAAAATATAAAAATATCCAATACGTCTTAGTAGTTAGTTTATTAAAATAAAATCCGTTATAAACGTCAATTACATGATTCTATCAAATTGTTTTCTTATTGTTACGAAGAGCAACTAAATTTTAAATTGACCTATTTCAGGATACCTACTCAACCTTATCCAGTTTAATTCGTTCAGATTTGATGTGTTTGGTGTACATGAAACAAAAATAGGCGTATTCAGATATAGTTTTGATATATTTGGAGGTTAATAAGTCTTCTGTAGTCTTTCTCGTCTTCGTTACATTACGGAACAATTTTGTCCAGTTCTGATACTTAGCAGGGATTTCTATGCAAACAATATTTTAGGAACAACTCTACAGAGTTATTATGTATATCAAACACAGTCATTTTATTGAGTTTTAGGCATTCTTAGCAACTTTTGTATAGAACTATTTTGGATATCTCAGGACAGTCCAAAGCCCACACTACAATACGACTTCGGAATGGGTGTTTTTAATGGTTAGTTACCAAGTTCATCAGTCTGAAATGTCAATATGAGTACTTTTACTCAGAAGTCTTGAAACAGGGATTAAAACAACAGTCAGCTCAAAGTAAGCAGAAAAATATATAATAAAAGATAATCCCTATTTTCAGTGAGAATTTCACTCGCGAATAAAGCATTTACGTATCAAAATCATGAACGATAGTTATAAAAGCAGGATACCAACACTAACTTCTTCAGTTTTGTCCTCAGATTAAGTCCAAGACTCGACATACAAGTGTCAAGTCTTTGAAGACATAAATAATAGATGCTCACCGTAATAATGTATAATATGTGGTTTACTTGAATATATTATCTTCTTACTTTCTCCTCTTCTTTTAGGTGAGGACTGGAATAAAATAGATGCCCTAAGCAATCCTAACTCCGCCTGTAGCACTTTTAGAGCTATGCCTGTCCCAAGCCCGGGTAAAGGAGGAGGGTTGAACATAGTGTTAGCGATCCCATTCCGTAGAAAACTAACTCGCTAAAAAACGATAACCAGAAAAAATAGTTCAAACCATTTAAACTCCGCCCTGGGAGTTAGGTCTTCATCTGGAAAAACTATGACGCCTGGTGGTGAAAGCCGGGTTCCTTCGGAAGTCGCGAGGCCGATGCCCCTTCTGACAACCAGATCAACAATTTTTATAGGTACATGGAACATCCGGACAATTTGGGAGACTGGGAAGACCAGTCAAATAGCAGCGGAAATGAGGAGATACAACTTGGAAGTACTGGGAATCAGCGAAACCCATTGGACTCAAGCTGGACAACAAAGGCTAAATACGGGAGAGATGCTGCTATACTCCGGTCACGAAGAGTAAGATGCTCCACACACTCAGAGAGTTGCTCTAATGCTGTCCAAAGTAGCACGAAATGCACTTGTAGGATGGGAACCTCAAGGATCCAGAATCATCAAAGCATCATTCAAAACAAAGAAGTAGGGAATTACAATCAATGTTATCCAATGTTTTGCACCCACCAATGATAACAATGACGACGATAAAGATCAGTTCGATGATAGGTTGCAATCAATCATAGAGGAGTGCCCAAGAAAGAACCTCACCATTCTGATGGGAGATCTAAACGCCACAGTCGAAATAGACAAAACCGGATATGAAGATATCATGGGACGACATCGACTGGGAGAGAGGAACGAAAACGGGGAGATATTTGCAAATCTATGTGCATTCAACAAATTGGTCATAGGCGGCACAATATTTCCACACAAACGTATACACAAAGCTACATGGATCTCACCGGACGACACCACAGAGAACCAGATAGATCATATTTGCATCAATAAAAAGTTCCGAAGGACAATGGAAGACGTGAGAACCAGAAGAGGAGATGACATAGCTTCAGATAACCACCTAGTTGTGGCCAATTCAAAACTGAAGCTAAAGAACTGGACAAACAGCTCTGCAAAGGTTCAATACAGCCTTCCTTCGAGATACTAACAAACTCAATGAATTCAAGATGGCTCTCAACAACAGGTTCCAAGCCCTACAGGACCTAAGGAGGAAGAAGAAACCACTATGGAGGACAACTAGAAAGGTATCAAAGAAGCATTAACTTCAACGTGTCAAGAGGTTCTGGGCCTAAAGAAGCATCATCATAAGAAATGGATCTCTATAGAAACACTGGGCAGGATTAAAGAAAGGAAAAACAATAAGACAGCAATTAACAACAGCCGAACACGAGCAGAGAAAGTCCGAGCACAAGCTGAGTACATAGAAGCAAACAAGCAATTGAAGAAGAGCATTAGAGCCAACAAGAAGAAATACGTGGAAGAACTAGCAATGACGGCGGAAAAAGCTGCAAGAGACAGAAATATGAAACAGCTTTACAATACAACGAAGAAACTAGCAGGGAAATATAGTAAACCAGAGAGACCGGTCAAAGAGAAAGAAGGCAGACCAATCACTGAAATTCAACAACAGAGGAACAGATGGGTAGAGTACTTCGAGGAACTCTCGAATAGGCCGGCTCCAATGAATCCACCGGACATCGGAGCAGCACACACAGATCTTCCTATAGATGTCAATCCACAAACGAAGGAAGAAATCATAATGGCCATCAGACAAATCAAGAGCGGGAAAGCAGCAGGACCCGACAACATACCAGCTGAAGCACTGAAGTAACTACAAACATGCTTTACCTTCTATTCAAAAAGATTTAGGAGGAGGAACAAGTGCCGATGGACTGGAAGGAATGACGCTTCACTAAAACTCCAAAGAGAGGCGATTTGAGCAAATGTGAGAACTACAGAGGCATCACACTACTGTCAGTACCACGGAACGTCTTTAACAGAGTGTTGCTCAACCGGATGAAAGACGCAGTAGACGTCCAACTTCGAGAGCAACAGGCTGGATTCCGTAAGGATCGGTCGTGCATAGACCGAATTGCGACACTACGGATCATCGTCGAACAACCAATTGAGTGGAACTCAACAATGTACATCAACTTCATTGATTACGAAAAGGCATTTATCAGTGTAGATAGGAGGACGTTACGGAAACTTCTTCGACACTACGGAGTTCCTGAGAAGATTTTCAACATTATCTGGAACTCATACGACGTACTACAGTGCAAGGTTGCGCATGAAGGACAGCTGACAGATGCATTCCAAGTAAGGACCGGATCCAGACAATGCTGCTTACTCTCTCCCTTCCTCTTTCTTCTGATGGTCGACTGGATTATGAAGACCTCGACGTCTGAGGGGAAACACGGAATACAATGGACAGCTCAGAAAAAATTATACGATATGGACTTCGCAGATGACCTAGCCCTCCTATCGCATACACACGGACAAATGCAGATAAAGACAGCCAGTTTAGCAGCAGACTGTCTCTACATCAGTAGGCCCCAACATACACAAGGAGAAAACCAAGGTCCCCAAATACAATACGGAGAACAGCAAACCAATCACACTTGATGGCGAAACTCTGGAAGATGCAGAATCCTTCACGTACCTGGGAAGCATCATCGATGAACAAGGAGGTTCAGATGCAGACGTAAAGGTAAGGATTGGCATGGCAAAGGCCTCATTCCTACAATTTAAGAGCATATGGGACTCAAAACAACCTTCAACCAATATCAAAGTCTGAATCTTCAATACGAACATAAAGGCAGTTCAATTGTACGGAACTGAAACTTGGAGAACTACAACAACCATCATCAAGAAGGTACAAGTATTTATAAACGGTTGTCTACGCAAGATGCTCAACATCCATTGGCCGGATATCATCAGCAACAGCCTTCTCTGGAAGAGAACAAACCAGCTTCCAGCTGAAGTGGAAATTAGGAAAAGACGATGGAAATAGATAGGATATGTATTACGGAAATCACCAAACTGCATCACGAGTCACACCTTGAATTGGAATTCCGAAGGGAAGCGGAAAAGAGGAAGGCCAAAGAACAAATTAAGTCGGAAAATAGAAGCGGATATGAAAAGGATGAATAACAACTGGAAAGAGCTGAAAAGGATTGCCCAAGACAGGCTTGGATGGAGAATGCTGGTGAGCGGCATATGCTCCTTCACAAGGAGTAACAGGCGTAAGTAAGTAAGTAAGTAAGCAATCCTGTTTTTTGTTAAAAAAACATCAGAAAAAAACTAGACAAGATTAAAAAGTGTAAAACGTTTAAGCGTTAATTATATTTAAATGTAAAAACTACCGAAAAACATGAATCTGAATTATTATGAGTAAAACCTAACCTATAATATATAAACTGGTTCGTGAGAAATTGAAATCCAGACCAGAATGATTGAGTAAACATGGTAAGAAGAACCAGCTTGATAGCAATTTTTCTCTCAGAACTCAACATTATTGAGTTATACAACTTGAGATATGGTTCTGTTCAGCTAAACCTGTGGTAATATTGACAAACAAATTAGTTATCTGAAATTTTGTACGATTGCACAGTTTTGAAAGATAATTAGTTGACAACATACTAAAGAAATCAGTGTTATCCAACATAAAACAGGCTTTTTAAGTAAGAATAGCAAAAGAATCATTCGTACAAAAACTTCCATTAATCTCGAGTACTGCATAAACAAAACATTCAAAAGACTTTTTAACCGAAAAAAGCAAAACAAGTCTGAGAGCAACGATAGACTAATATAAAAACAATATTTTAAAACGAGGAATTAATATAGTTTTATAAAGATAGAAAATGTAACTGATTGTGGGCACTCGGAAATATAACTTAGCATAACAAGTAGGCAGATGATTAAATTATTTAGTGCCAATTTTAAATAATCAACTTGTCTCATAATTCGCGACATATTGATGAAGACTTGATCTAAAAACATAGGTGGTCCAAAAACTCACAAAACCAGTTTTTCGAGCACTGTGCTTGATTTATTACCTATATTTTAATGTTTACAGCTGATGATTTTAGCCCCTGAATGCTTACACATATGACAAAAGTGTGGTTTAAACAGATACACGTTGAGAAGAGCATCAACATGTCATTGAGCTAACAATTGTTAAAAAAGAACTGATGAGACCTCGTTAAAAACAAGTATGATTGAAATTCTAAATCATATGTATTTAAAGCGTAACCAAACACCACAAAATCAAATGAAACATATGAACCGAAACGTTCGCCGTAATTTGCCGTTAAATCGACGTAATAGCCTACTTTAACACTTTGCTGTAGATGTTATTCAGTCGATGGCATCAGAATAATACCTCTAATATGATTTCTTAGAACAGTGATTGACGGTAATTTGTAAGTGTAGATAGAACTACAATGCCCATTCCGATTACTGCTACGGATAGATTACATTAAATACTTTATGAATAACTCAAGCGAAATGGCTTTTAATTAAGCACGTTCTCATTTCCGTTTTAGGTAACCTGACGATATCAATCACCAGCAAGTAAGTATACTTTACAGCTGAGCAGAAAAAAATTGCACTTACTTATCAGAACTCAACTAATTACGCTCAATTGTAAAAACATCAGATCTATCATTACGTCTACTTAGTGAAGCCAAACAATAATCCATCACTACAATGCAGATAAATTAGTTGTAATGTGCCACGTTCGAGTAACAGTTGAAAATACTGAGATGGACTATATCACTGAGGAATTTATCAATACCTAACAGAGCGAATTCTTCCGAGAGCAAACACCTAAATTTAGCAGAGTTAAGACTGAAACCTATGTTTGAAAATCAAAATAAATAAACGTTAAGTCTAGTCCATATTCAGCAACAAAAATTATTGCTGATATTTTCACTCCTTGGATGTATACCAAACCATATAACCAAATATTCCCCCTATACATACATAGATCATTTCTATTGTGAGTGAACTTAGAATGTTGTTGGACAAGAATAACATATGTGAAAGAAGTCTACTCACTTATTCGAGAAATCATGTATGACACTAATCAAACTTGAGTTTATATAAACTGGTCATAATTCACTACACACTATTTTACTGGCAGTTAGTGTCGCAACGTTCCTTGAAATCAAATAAATAAGTTAGCGAGACCATAATTTGCGGAAGAACCAATGAAGCTAAGGATAGTAAGTTTTGGGTTTCTGCGCGAAATTCATTCATATAGGTAGTTTAATATGATTTTTGCATTAAAACTGGTGCGAGTTGCCCCAGTGCCCATCAATCTCACTGAAAAGTCGTCCATAAATAATAGTCACCATAAAGTCGTTAGCTAGTACGTACTTTAAGAAACATAAGTATAGCTAACTTCGGTAATTTTCATCCATATTATGAATGAGGATAAAAAATATGCAAACATCGTAGGTTTTAAAATTATATTGGTCATTAATTAGGCTTATTTTATCAGGATCATACAAAGACAGTAAAATAAAACTACAACAGTCGCAACGCACCATTCGAAATTGTGACCCAACAACCAAATGGGTCAAATGGTTTTGGAAGGAATATAAGCTCTCGCTTAACGGGCTTCCGTATCTAATAGTAGTGGACCACCAATACCTCCAGGCAGGAACCTAGGTATATTATTGGTAAAAGAGGGAAAAGAAAAGTTGATTTACCATTGTAAGATACTATCTTTAGTCCTTAAGAACATGTCAAGTTTTCTCTTAAATGACTCCTGAGAAATCGCTTGTACTAGCTCAGCCAGCAGTGAATTTCATTGTTTGACTACTCTTAAGGAGTAGAAGGTATGTCTACATCTCATTCTGCTGTGTTGAGTCTCTAGTTTCAATGTGTTACCCCTACGTTTTGTGTTAGGACAAGGCTTAAGTAAGTGTTTAAGGAGATGTTCAGAAGTATTTAGGATGCTATAAGCCATTAGGCGGTAACTTCTAAGATGCCCGTCCTCTCAAGGGTAAAGGTTCAATGATCGGAGGCGCTCCTCATAAGGCTTAAGTTTGAGGTCCCGAACAGATTTTGTGGCTCGCAGTTGGATACGTTCCACAGTGTGGGAAGAAATGCTATGTTTCCGTACTCTGTAATCAGGTCGATCAAAACTGTTGAAGATCATGTGCGAAGTTCTTCCGTCGAATCAGCGAAAAATGTGCTTCAATGTTATCAGTGCAATATCTGCTAGGAAGACATTGCTGTCTCATTCAGCGTAAGACTTCAAATTGTAGGGTATCAATACTCTTAGATCTTTTTCAGTTTGGAATACCTCCAGAGTGGAGTTGCCTAAGTTTTAGCTGCATTCTACAACATGTTTCTTTACACTTTGAAGTGTTATAGGTAAGTCCGTTGTTGTCTGTCCAACTTTGAAATGGAGTCAGATCCTCCTGAAGTGCCAGTTTATACTTATGGTTGCGTATCTCTCCCCAAAGTTTCACATCGTCAGCAAAAAGTAATAAGTCTGGCAATACGTGCTGTGGAAGATCGTTTATAGAAGTCAAGAAAAGAAGAGGTTCCCTGGGAGACCCCACTATGACATACCATAGCCCGAGAGAAAATGAAGTTAACCCTGACCTTAAGATGTCGGCATATTGGATATGAAGTAAGCCAGTCAGAGATGATATGATATCTAATCGTTCGAGCTTATTAAGAGATATACGGTTGACATCACCAAAGGCATTGGAGAAGTCAACGTAAATAACCTCAACCTTCCCCTTGGGATCAAGGATTGTTGTCCATCGCAGTCAGCAGGTTGGCCATACAAGAATGACCCTTCCTGAAACCATGCTGTTGGGGTCAAAAGAAGTTTAAAAATAATAAATAGTCGTATATACCATCGCATATCAGGGAATCCATATTTTTTTGAATGTATGGAGAGGAGAGCCACCGGGCGGTAGCATGGAGGTTCGCTGAGTCGACTTCCTTTGAAAGTTGGTGTGATGTGAGCCAGCTTCCGAATTTCCGGCAATGCGCCTCGGCTTAGAAAGTGTGAGAACAGCACTAAGCGGTGTCGCCAAGATTGAAGCTGCTTCCTTCAGTATAGCAGTATGAACCATATTCGGACCAGGAGGTGTCTTTTTTAAGGTGCTGCAGTTTCTGATACACCAAGTCAGCTCCCAGGTCCACTTCGGAAAGTCCTGTGCAGTTGTAGATGAGGCTTTGATAAATATAGTTAATATGGGTCAGTTGCAATGTCCGAGAGTACTGTTCAGCCAAAGGGTTAGTGGCATCACCATCGTTAATGATCGACCCATTAGGACCTAGCTGTTGGGTGACTCCAGTTTTGGCTTGTCGATGAGAGGCTGCATAACGGAAGCAAAGGAAGAGTGCGGTTCTCGGTGACCTCGGGTTACTTGCGGATTCAGGGGACCGTTAGTGAAGCAGACTGCATTGTAGCACAAAATCTTGTGCAGTAAGAAATAACAGTGAGCGTCCACACCAGGTTGAATGTGAACATCTCATTCCGTCTATTGTAGACCGTCATGTAAAGCTGACACATTCAAACGTTTGAAATTCTAGCTTGCTGTGGTCGATTCCAGTTTTAGTGGTAAAACTGAATGCCATGACGGCGTCTCAACAGTTCATCTGATATTAAATATTCATATGACTAGCTTGCATAAAGTTATTGATTTTGTTGCTCTCATTGCTTGTTGTTTAGGTACAGTTTCATGTTCAACCACTCATCTACTCAAATTTGAGTCAGCTTGATGGTTATTTAGGGTTTTTTATATCTTTTATTCTGAGAGAGTGCATTAGGGATTACGAATACCTGAAGTTATTAGACTTCCAGGCTGTAAAGTGATTGGTTGGGACTTGGAGCGACTGTTTTTAGAACAATTCGAGTTAATAGGCGGACTGATAATTTAGTGATGCAGACGAACGACCATAGTGTAACATTAGAAGACTAGATGAAAATAATAGTTAATAAATTCGGAATAAGTTATTCAAAACTGATGAAAATAACCAAAGTCCGTTACCAGACATGCATCAGGTATATCTAATCCAAGGGAGAGACAGTAATCCATCGGTGAGTACGTGTTTATCGAGCCTCCACATGAAGTTATCCACTGAGGGGTGCTTAGTCCCTTTGACTGAGGTGACACTTCATTCCTAATGGGAAAAGGTGGTGGCCTACATACGCTTTTGCTCCTTGATGAAAAACTTTTCAGTAATTGCCTCGAGGAGTGTAATATAAATGTTCTGCTAGTATTCTTATGTTACGCTGTCCTGGAAAACTTAGTATGCTGTGTGACATTTCTATATCGCCCCTTATTCCGCTATAGCTCAGCAATAATTGATGTAGGTAATAGGTGCATCTTTGCGGACAGGAGGCGCAATAACGCTATGGCTTCCAAGGTGATGCCGTGAGTACTTTATGAACAGTGTTGGAAACCTTCATGATGTGGTTGCCAATGAGCACTTCTCGTTCTACCGATAGAACAAACCAGACTAGAAGTGGATAAGTCTTTACTCAGATCGTGAATGGTTCAGCAAAGCACGAGGTTGTCTTTTTGAAACACACAGCTCTTCAACATTCAATACAAGTCTCTTTAAACCCTTATCGCTTTTTATGGATTACAATATATTCATACCACTAAGCCAATTTTGTCTAGGATGTCAATAATAGGAGAAGCCTCTGAGATGGTCCTTAGAGAAATCCTTGATGTCAAGACCATCCAGATCGTGTGTGGAACGTCTTGCTCTCTAGGTAGCTTTGAGACTCAGTCAGAAGAGGGTTAGCGAAGCACATTATCGTTATCTTCGTTGTAAGTATTGTATTCGGTGCCGTATATATCGCTTACGTGTAGTCGAGGAAAAACAACATGAACCGCTATCTTTTGGTCTCGGAAAAGTGGCCAGATGTCTGATAATATGAGAAAGCTATATTTAATCTTTTTCGTTACTAATGTGGGACCTATATGTGTACGTTTAAGGCCATCATCAGGCGCTTTCTGTATCTTTGGTAGCAAACAAAGTTATGAAAGGTGTTCAGCACAGACTAAATGTCATATGTTTAATCGGATGATTTAATAAATCCGACATCTGTCGGGTACACACTGATGTTATTCTATTATCTCAAATAGGCATCATATTTCCCATTATATTTTAAAGTATGTTGAAAGCTTTGTGTATTTGAAAGTGTAACTTGGCACTCTAACTGTTCTGTTCCTCGATTTGAATAAAAACATACTGCAACTACTGGTCTCACGTCTTCCAAATCGAAAACGAGAGGTAATCACCTGTAATAAACAATCACTGAAGGACTCCAATCATCTGGAAAGACTGTTGGATCAGAAAATGCCCGTCCACTCGTTGTTCTTGAACTTCACCAAGACAAATAATGCAACACTACACTCCTTCCTCTAGGCTGAATTCGAGTGATGGGGTTCAAGGATCAACTTTTTTGTGACTAAGCAACTGTTTGCAAAATTAAGTAATTTTGTTTAAAGTTTTTAAGTTACAATAAAGCTTAAGAGCGTCCATGCCCAGAGCTTCTCATACATATAATGAACCCATTGTTACTTTTCCTATCGACTGATGACCCTTATGAGTATCTAAGTTCATCAGTCTTTAAGTTTGGGAATTACACTAAACTTTGTAGAGTTATCAGATATTAAACTTATTGTCAAGAGATGCAAAGAGATCTAGCACCACCTTAATAGCGGGGACAATAAAGCAGCCTTACATCAAATCTACAGAAATGTCAGATAGTCTCTTTTAAAATTATAGAGAAGCACCAGACCTACTACTTGGTGCGAAGGTTCCACTTTTCTGGAACCCAGACAATCTTTTCCCGGGATAGAACCTATACATCAGCAACCCCCTCATTTCCTTCGACCACAGATTGCTGACTTCAACCATCTTTCAGGAACTATCCATGACCTACATCTCGTCTTCAGACATTCAACAATATTTTGCCATTAATCTTCAGAAGAGACATAAATCACTTGGAACAAGATTGGATGTTAACAGTAATATGGATGAAAGAGTTATAGTGAATGTCGTGATAGATTTAACAGATGAGGTTGTTCTGCCTAAGTTGCGAAATATAATACTTACTTACGCCTGTTACTCCTCGTGAAGGAGCATATGCCACTCACCAGCATTCTCCATCCAAGCCTGTCTTGGGCAATCCTTTTCAGCTCTTTCCAGTTGTTATTCATCCTTTTCATATCCGCTTCTATTTTCCGACTTAATTTGTTCTTTGGCCTTCCTCTTTTCCGCTTCCCTTCGGAATTCCAATTCAAGGTGTGACTCGTGATGCAGTTTGGTGATTTCCGTAATACATATCCTATCTATTTCCATCGTCTTTTCCTAATTTCCACTTCAGCTGGAAGCTGGTTTGTTCTCTTCCAGAGAAGGCTGTTGCTGATGATATCCGGCCAATGGATGTTGAGCATCTTGCGTAGACAACCGTTTATAAATACTTGTACCTTCTTGATGATGGTTGTTGTAGTTCTCCAAGTTTCAGTTCCGTACAATTGAACTGCCTTTATGTTCGTATTGAAGATTCAGACTTTGATATTGGTTGAAGGTTGTTTTGAGTTCCATATGCTCTTAAATTGTAGGAATGAGGCCTTTGCCATGCCAATCCTTACCTTTACGTCTGCATCTGAACCTCCTTGTTCATCGATGATGCTTCCCAGGTATGTGAAGAATTCTGTTGAAGATTTCCTCAGGTATACCATAGTGTCGAAGAGGGTTCCGTAAGGTTCATCTATTCACTCTGTCAAATGCTTTCTCATAATCAAGGAAGTTGATATGTAGTGACGAGTTACATTCAATTGATTGTTCAATGATGATCCATAGTGTCGCGATTTGATCTGTGCACGACTGATCTTTACGGAATCCGACCGGTTGATCCCGAACTTGGGCTTCTACCGAGTCTCTCATCCGGTTCAGCAATACTCTGTTAAAAACTGTCCCTGCTACCGATAATAGTGTGATTCCTGTATATTTCCCTCATTTGCTCAGGGTTCCTTTCTTTGGTATCTTGATTAGGTATCCATCTTTCCAGTCTGTCAGTGGCACTTGTTCCTCCTACCAAATCTTCCTAAATAGAACGTGGAGCATGTTTGCAATTACCTCAACATCTGACTTCAGTACTTTGGCCGGTGTGTTGTCTGGCGCTGCCGCTTTCCCAATCTCGATTTGTCTGATTAACATCCTGGCTTCTTCGATCGTTGGTGGGGTGACATCTATATGAAGGTTTGTGTGTACTGCTACTGTCACATAGTTATTTTATATTTCTTTCCGTCTCAGCATTTTCTGATGTTCTTTCTAGGTCTTCTATATAATTTTACTTGTCAACTCTAATTCTCTTCTTTACGTGGTTGCTTGATTCGGTGTATTCACCTTGTGCCTTGACTTTTTCTGTTCCTGTTCGGCTGTTGTTAATTGCTGTCTTTTTGCCCCCCCTTACTTGAAGCTTGTCTAGGGTTTTCATAGAAATTCATTCCTGGCGATGATTCTTGTTGCGGCTCAGAACCTCCTGACACGCTGCGATTAGTGCTGTTTTGGTCCATTTCCAGTCGTTCTGCATAGTAGTTACATCTTCTTTGGGCAGATCTTGTGGGGCTTGGAATCCAATGTCGAGAGTGTGGCCATAAATAAGTCTTCAGAATCAATAGCTTTATAAGTCTTCCACATTTGATTCTGACGGCATCGGTCATGCATCTGCACCAGATCACGAGTGGGCGCTTCACTTCTACAACCGCTAGCCAGCTTGGATCAGTCACTTCTGGATATATTGATAACCTATCTAATATGTCTTCGAACCACTTCGCTTCTGGCTTCTGATTTAACTGGGTTGGCACGCCTCGATTATAGAAAGTGTTACTGGTTGACGTGTTGTCAAAATCCAAATACTTGTGGCATCTTTAGGAGCTATTTTGATTTCGTTGAGCCTCGAAAGATGACTGTATTGAACCTTTGTAATGATGTTTTCCCAGTTATCCATTGTTTCTTTAGCTTCAGTTTGATCTTCTCAACCACCGGGTAGAGGTGATCTGAATCCATATCAGAGTGAGACCGATTTATAAATGACCTTGGGCCGACACTGAAGTGACCTTCAGAATGTCCATCTAATTACTGGGACTAAATGAGGGTTATGAACCAGTGTGAGGGATTGGAATTGTGATTTACAGTTCATGGTTAGAGTTAAAAATTAGATTTATGATTTTCATTGCGAATCGACATGAGTTAAAATGCCAAAACGTTAGTTAACCAAATGGATAAAATTCACGACACATTATCGTGTATGTGATTGGTTTGTCCATAAATTATAGTCTCGCCCTATGCCAGCACCTCTCCCGGTTCTTACGTCTTCCATTGACCTTCGACAATTTTTAGTGATAAAAATATGATCGATCTGGTTTCCTGTAGTGTAATCCGGTGAGACCCATGTAATTATGTGCATGCTTTTGTGGGAGAACATTGTAAAGCCCATAACCAGGTTGCTGAATGCACATGGATTTGCCAATCTCTCCTCATTTTCGTTTCTTTTTGCAAGTTCATGTCCTCCATGATATTTGCGAACCCGGTGTTGTCCATTCCGGCTTTGGTGTTTAGGTCTCTCATCACGGTGATCAGGTCTTTTGCTGAGTACTTTGCTATAGTTGATTACATCCACTCAAAACTGATCTTTATCGTCGTCGTCGCCGCTACGATCGTTGGGTGCACAACATCGGATAATATTCGTTCTGATTCTCCCTTCTTTTCTTTGAAAGATGATTTGATGATTCTTGGTCCATCCTACAAGTGCCTTACGTGCTTCTTTGGATATCGTGGGATCAACTCTCTGTGTGTGGAGCATTTTCCTCCTCATGACCGGAGTACAGCAGAATCTCTCCCTAATCTATCCTTTGCTGTCCAGCTTGTATACAAAGGTTTTCACTTATTCTGAGCACTGTCAATTTGGACCTCCTCATTTCAGCAGCTATTTTGTTGTTCTTCTTGGTCTCTCAAATTGTGCGAACACCACAAATATCTATATTAGTTGCTCGCTCGGCTGTTAGAAGTGGAATCATCTTCTTGACTCTCTAAGGATCTCGGGTTTCACCATGAGGTTTCACAATTCTTTTGCATGAAGATCGTACAACTTCTTATGTAGAGTTTAAATGATTTAATTCGTTTGTTAAAGTTAGCGTTTCCTTACCAAGGTTTTCTTCTTTGCCTGGTTTTGGAACTGGTAGTAACCCTAGAAGAGCTACAGGAGGAGTTACAAAGCATAATAAGTTATTCAATAACTCTAGGCTATCTTTAAGTGAGCTGTTTCGCCACAGGAAATGCATATTGGCCATGGCCTCTTCAGTGGATAGTCTCAAGAGGAAACTTAACAGTTGTGCGTTTATCTGTGTCTTACCGTTTTTCATATGTAATAGATGTGACTGAGATGTCTTTCGTAAGTTATAATGATTATTATCCACATCATTTCCTGCCCGCTTCACTGGTTGCCACCTCCTTTTTATTCATTATTCCTCCACCTTTGTTTGCAGTATGTGCATATCAAAGTTGTCCACTTCCGACGATTATCTTCTCCTTATACCAAATATGAAAGAACAAAAAATATTAGCCTTCAAATAATTGTGAGACTCACTAAGAGTACAGAAGCTCAGTGGCAACAATGAAAGATTATGTGAAATTCTAAATTAATTCCGTATGTATTTTCATTGATTTCATCATATTAGCTATTGATATAATGGCAAAAATTAAGTACCAGAGTTTCTTTAAACACATGCGTTTCACACATCCATCAGTGCAAACAAATGAACAAACACCAATCGGTGATAAGAAACGTGCAAAAACTAAGATATTTCTTGCTATAAGTGTTTGTACAATTCTAATCATACACTAAATAACGCAAGTAAAGTGTTGTATATTGTGTAGGATAAGTAAATCTATAGGCACTCACAAGTATATAGATCACCAACGGAGATAATCTATGTCGAATGATTGGGGGCCTACTTGAGTTAGATGAGAATGATGTGACCAACCAGCTGACTCAAAAGTCACACCTTACGGTTGGTACCTAACACGGATCACCGTTTCGTCTTGTCTAATTAATATGGCTAATCTGATTACCGTAAGACACAAACGAGGTTATTACAGAAATATATTAGTTTGAGTAGGAACAAGGAACAGAGTATAACCACTACTGCGTATGGCGTGTAAATAACTAATGCATGTTGATTGACCTTATCGCTGAGGTGGATCGGTGGACTGTTCGACAATCGGTAACCCGACTGCCTGATGATTTGGCTAGGGCTCAGTGACGTTTCACTGACCCTACAAGCACAACTATAAAATTAACAAGAAAAAATTAAGGTATGTACATGTGCTATATGTTGTAATGACTTATGGAGAAGATAGAGTTATTAAGAAGACGAAAATAACTCAATAGGCATAAGCTGTATGAGTTCTTAAAGTACATCAAAAAGACAGAAGACGCTAGTAAACATTACAATTGTGTTATTTTTGCAAGACTACTCATAGTGGACAGTGCTAAGACACGTAACAGGGTGTACAATAGATCAACTGGTCTACACTAATGGATCAAAAAAGCAATGGGTTTTGAATACTACTTGTTTTGGAGGTTTAATAGTCTGAAGAATTTATATTGCTTGGAAGTACTTCACGAAGCAAGTTAGTAAGAGGCAGGTAAATGCTAATGACCAAAGAGTGTAAGTCGCTTCTCACCATTTCTTGTTTAAGCTCCCTTCTACCTTGCTCACTCAAAGCTATACTAACCAGCGCTGTGTATAACGTGCGATGGATTTCGGTAATTTCCATCAAACATATTTCATCGTTTTATGGTAGAGATAGTAAGATCTTCTGTGCTGAAATTGGTTCAAGAATCAAAAAGTAAAGGAAACTTTTCCCTTAACCGTTTGGCTGAACATGTATATTCTATGTTACAATCCGAGTTATTGGTCAGATGTTATGATATTGTAAACATTGTTAATCGTCCTTCTATTTTGGTAAGAATACAAAAATTATCGGATAACCAGTTTGCGTGCTACTACAATATTTAATTTATTGTCGTTAGATTATGAAGATTTACAGTCTTAAAATTGGATCACTTACATATACTACTAGGTGATGAAGACACAGTTAAGGTTAATATAAAGTCTTGTTGATCTGGGTAAATTCAATACTTTTGTCCGTCGACATCGAGAAGGGTCTCAGAAAAGACGAGTTTTTTCGAAGCTTTGGTGAAATTTATTGCGGAAAATAAGGTTCGAATTTGGAAACATGCTCGTTAATATAGTCAATTCAACCGAACTTCTCATTGTTCTTCGAGATCAAGCTAAAAAAGTGGACTGATTTTATTTTCTTCAAAATTTTCATCATTTAGCCTTACAGAACCTCATGTTTATTTAACCAAATTTCGTTCTTATTAAAACAGATTTGTTTAGCCGTGGGGACTTGAACTTATCCACATTTTTGTCACGTTTACGTCGAGCATAACCGGCCGATCAACATTATGCCAAAAATATCCTAGTCATCAAGATATGTATTTCGTTACTTCAAGTAATATTTGTTTGTTAAATTCACCTGTGGTGTCCATCTATCCGCTTTTTGGGACGTCATTTAATGAACTTTGTTCTCGTTGTTAGTCCCTAAAATTTTATGTAGGCATAGCCATCGCTCTTTTGAAGTTTGCCCACGTACTACAAATAGAATCACTTCGCTATCTTTGTTGCCTTAAAGTAGAAGTTCTGCTACATCTGCGTGCTCAGTTTAGTGTTGTTACGCATACGTTTTCTGGTTACTAGCAAAATAATTTCTATGACTATTACTCTAATGTCATTTTTCAAACTTGTTGGAGTCTCTTAACATATTCACTAAAAATATCTAAGGAGTGTATAACTTTTTACTGATAAAAATATAAATACCTTTTCAGTTACAAAACTCTTGTTTAATACCTATTCGGTTACCCTGATATTCAGCACAAAGCGGAGGCACACTGAGTACTATTCCAAGTTTGGATCCATCTACATAGGTTCCTGTACCCACGTGTTACAACTATCCCAAGTATGAAAATTTTAATCTCAGTCCAAATAAATGAGCTTGCACTTAATCATCAAGTTACCTCAACTACTCAACATTCATCTAGTAAGGTTATTAAAGGTACTGCTGTGCAATACACGTTAATTTATACTTTCTAATGCACGCAGATGAACAAATTAGAAATATTGCGTACTGATGCAACAACTTTAAGGTTTTACTTTTAGTTCTACCAGAATATCAATTTTAAGTATTTAGTTACTCAATGGTAATCTGAATGAATATTGAAAAAATATCCTGTGAAATTGGTCATTGTCAGATACTGCGGGTTAGTAACTTCCTCAATTCTTGGCTGCCTTTTGTTGCAGAACACTTATGGTGAAAACTACTTCCTCAACCAGTAGACCTGAATAGTAAATAATTAGAAATACCTCTTCTCATCTTGGCAATGTATCTTATACCTAACGATTTACTGCAATAGTTTAGCCCTTTGACTTATGGTGCGGTAGGAGGATCTTTAACTGGCTATTAATGTTTAAATCAACACATAGAATGAAAAAAGTCCGTTTAATGGTAAATGAACATCGATATGGTCTTAGTTTGCGTGTAAGATTGAGAAGATTTGAACTTAAGCTAATATGACTACTTACTGCCACTTGATTGAAGATGGTCAGCTAGTTGGTACTCTTAAACACGATCATTCTCAATTTAAGGGATCTGGTGTTTCCTCTGGAATTTTTTATCGCGTCTCACAGTGAATTAATCTATATTTCGTATTGTCCTTTTCTCCTGCATCATGAAGTAAGCAAACAAATGAAATTTTATCAGGATGACATAGGTTTACTAATTTCATGGTATATATTTAGCATACTACAAAATAAATAATACTGTAAATATTTAAGAATACTAAATGCACAAAGTTACCAGGAAAATTACTTTTCTAGGTATTAGAAAATATATTTCTAGGATAATTAAGACCCAAGTTAGTGGACATAATGCTAATGAATAAGTAGAAAGTTTTTATACAAATAAAAAAAATTGAGAGGCCAAGGAGTGAGGAAGGTGTTTGGGGACACGACTTGTATTGCCATCATCAGAGGACAGACTGAAACTTTAGATTGTCCGATTTACTAAATGTTCAAAGCTTGGATTATGAGACTTTATCTGAAACAGATCCTAAAGTTGAGGACATGCGAAAAATAACATGCGTCTAAAGCAAGAGTTTAATGTTGAAAATGAAAATTGTCATATCAGTACAGTGTATTTTGAGTAGGTAAATAAGGTTTTAGATGTCTGATAATGATGCTCAGTTCTCTGTCTTAAAGATCAAATCTTGAAATTCTGTTTAATTGGAGAATATTACTGAGCTATAAGCATTATACGTAACGTGTACTAAAAGACTTTTAGGGTTACCAATAATTATGCCAATAACCGTATAGATATTTTAGTTACTGGAGTCTTTAATTTATTATCTGTAACTTAGTCTAATTGAGTGACAGAATACATAATTTACAAATAAATGCTTCTTTTTATAAAATAAAGTCGATAGAACACTAAAAGCGTCCTGATGAGTTAAAGAGCTTATGGAGGTTGTTCGACCTAGTGATGCAAAGTAGCTATAAGTTAAATGGTTGGAACGGACTTTCAAATTTATTTATAGTGATATAGCTACAGTTGGACTGATTTAAGACGGGATTCTCAAGCTATTCACCTTATCGAATGAAGTTCGATCATAATGCGAGGAAAATAGGTACCAATGATGGTACTTATTATGGGCTCACCTTGTTAATTAGCCGGAGCCTTGAATGTTAACGACTGCTTTGAAAACCAGTAGTTAAACAAGTTGCTTCACAGGACCTAACTGTCATGGACTGCGTCTTCAATAGAGTTTCGGGTTGAGCAGTCTCATACTTGAAAAAAGGATTGTCCAGTTATACCTGATTTCCAAGAGTTGTCCACCTGATATCAGTTTAAGATATCAAATAACTTCATAAGATATCTTAATCTGACCATTGTAATGCTTGGAATAGATGTTGCAAATGATATGTACTTACTGAAATTTCATATAAACATTTTATATCAATAACCTTAGATTAAAAGACAATATTTCATAAGCCATAATTATTTGCTTTTTCTTACAAAAGGCGTGCATTTTAAAGTTTCTCTTTCACAGTCATCTCCGTATTATAAACACATGACAATGATAGAAACTGAAAATCCACCTTGATTCATTTTAATTTTTCTTATATAGGTCTTTACCTAATACTTTGGCTAAAATACATTCTTTTAATTTACAGTCAAACAGATTTATATCATATAGATCAATTTCAAAGATTTTTATACAACGATGTTCTGCTCATTTTAGGACGAGTTGGACAATTATATACCTTATGCAAACATCAATGAAGTTCAAACAGGTTTGCCTCCATTTTCAATGGATCAACTTAAAAAAAGAATCACTGGCTTACATTTACCGTACGGTACAGGTATATTCACTATCCAGTTGCCTGATTATCAACCTCGATTTGGATATCGAAGGTCAGGTATTGTTCTTCGACAAGCAGTCATTAAAGGGGAAGTAGAAAATTTATTTGTTTCAGGAGTAGAACATGGTAGTCCAGCAAGCAAGTAAGCATTATTTTACTGTAATTAACTTCTCATCTAATTGCATACTAGAAATTGATTTTTATTTTATCGTTTCAAATAAACAATAAAATCACTGTATTAGTTGTTCTTAATGGTATTTAGTGTTAAGCCAGTTTTATTTAACAGAAGAAGATGGAATAATCAAGAATTTATCTTTTGAACAATAACATTTTAGGAAAAACTCACTCAGTATGAGTTATCCGAAATACTTCTTACCTAATATGATATATAACAACCATAAATATCTGTTCTGATTGGTTGTTAAATTACAAACTGTTGATGTACGTTGTAACCATAATGATTCTTCTCGAAGTTGAATAAGGTATCTTCGTTGAATTTTAATAACTAAGTAATTTTACCAACCATTATATCTTACAAATCTAGATACTGTTTTACCTTCATCTATCTGATCATACAATTTACATCAGTTGATTACTGCGTAACAACTAATTTCTTATGTTTATTTTATTTTATTGTATAATTTGAATGTTGCCAATTAAATAACAGAATGATAATTTATTTAAAGGACTAACAATAATCAATTAATCGCTTTCAATGGTTTCAGTTTATTGTTTAAATATCTTAACAATATTTAATTTCAGTCATTATATTCAATCAGGATATGTGTTATATCCGGATGAGAATAAATGAATGGTAACCGTTAGGAATTACCTACGGATTAATATTATACGTATACTTTTATTGTATGAATATTAAGTAATTGTATTTTATGTATATTCATATTTCTTTCATTATAAGCCTTTATGAATACACGAGTCTTGAGTACTGTTAGAGGTATGAGGGCGGTTATCACTTCCCGGTTGCCCACACTGTGGAAGGGTTCTTCTAGAGGTGTCTGAAAAGAAAATTGGATTAGAGGTGATCTTGGTGACCTGAGAGCGTGACCGCAGTGTTCAAGGGACAACTGCTTGAGGTCGGTCACACACAACCTTTTTATGAGTAATTTTTGTATTAGCTCCGTACATGTTGAGACCTTACCGCCGGAGACGGATATCCGTCGGATAAGGCGAGGTGTGCATTTTTAGAGTCGACCTTTTCTAACCCCACCCCTCCTTGTGGGAAGGCAGCATCGCTGTCATGCTGGTTGTCTGAAGAAAACACTTTACTGCTGTCACACCTCTGTACAGTTAGCAGTACGACTTCGCCTTCGGACCTTGAGTTTGTTGCTTTTAGTCTTACTGCTCTTCAACCGACCTGTCTGACATGGTAGGACCTTGAGGGACGGTTGTTCCAACCAGTATAGCTCGGTTGCTTCATCACGATAGGCAAGCCTGACCACCACGTCAAGGTAACAATAACATTCTCGTCAACTGAATTCTCAGGTATTGATCTCTTTCCACGAGGTCCACTTATCGACTTATAATACGCAGATGACAGTCCTGTTTGGTGAAGACGTTGATAAAATGCAGAGTCTTCTGGCAGCACTAAGCAACAATGTCAGAATGTTTGGAATGCGCTTCTCTCCCTCTAAATGCGAGTTGTTGCTTCAGAAGTGGTCTGCGTCAACACCTGAACTAAGGATAGGGAGTTAAGTAGTCGAACGCGTTGACAACTTCACTTATCTTGGAAGTCTGATCAGCCCTAATGGGTTGTTGTCTGACGAAATCTGTGCACGGTTTCGAAAATCTCGTTTGGCTTTTGCTAACTTATGTCACCTATGGCAAAGGAGAGATATCCGTCTATCAATAAGAGGACGAGTATACTGCTCAGGAGTTCGTTCTGTTCTACTTTACGACTGCGAAATATGGCCATTTAGAGTAGAAGATACTCGTAAATTGATAGTATTTGATCACAGATGTCTTAGAAATATTGCTCTCATCTGCTGGGAACACCGGGTAAGTAATAGTGGGGTTAGACACAGGGTATTATGGAATGATGGCAAATGAGTTAATGGGTTTGTGAATCTTGATCGACTGAGATGGTTGAGCCACGTGTTGCGTGTGCCTGAACACTAATTACCACGACGTGCAATTTTAACCGGTGTTGGGGATGGTTGGAAGAAAGTTAGGTGCGGTCAAACCGAAACGTGACATCAGTGCTTGAAGACACTAACTTCTAGTCTGAGCCACGTTGGTAGATGCAGACTACTTGGTTGTGGTCCGCGTGACTATCGTAACCAATGGTTGGAGACTCTTGATGACATGGCTCAGAATCGATCACAATGACGTAGGTATATACACTCTCTGTCTTCCTTTAAAATCACTTCATATCTTTCTTTCTACGTACTAATTCCTTCTTTGTATGCTATGTTCTTATATGCAATCTTTCTTTTATATATTGCCACCATTGAATTAACTAATTCTATGAATATGGTGTTCATCTTGTTATGTTAATGGGGTATGTCAACTTGAACCGATGCATATATGTACCTGGTCCTACGTTATAGCTGACTGATAAGCTTTTATTTGACTTGTTGATTAATATCACACGATTTATTCTTGAGATATTCCCAATTTATAAATAACATTTACTTACAATCACAGCTACATTTGGCTTGATCTTGTACATATTTTATTTTCTATTTTATGATTTTATGTGGTCTGATTTTACTTGTATATAAACCAAGTATGCTTGAAATATATGATTCGTATCTCGGAATTTGATATTAGCGTTCTGGACTTAAGAGGAAGGACTAGCTGGGGAAAAGGGACTAATCAGAATTTTAGGCTGCTCGTACTGCTTTATGCATCATAAGTTGGGTCGTATAAGTCAGCGTATCTAAATTGGCAATCGTAATTCACGGTAATCATATAGCTAAGGACATAACAATTAGAATAAAGTTTTTCAGTTGTTTTTGTTTGTTTATTTGTTTGTAAGTCATTTATTGATTTAGTCAATGAAGAATATTTATAAATGTGAGACGGATATATAAATATATATCTTCGTAAATTTTTAATTGATTTTAATTATTAGATTAATGATAGAGAATGTTGTTAAGGTCATACTCACTAATCACCATTATAAGTTTGTTTACCTTATACAACTAAAGTAATAAATATAACTTTACATTTTGAGCATTTTGTAATTTGATACAATTTCAAAAAAAAATGTAATTCATTATCGAATTTAATAAACTGTTGATTGTATGTATTTTAATGATGACAAATTATATTACTATACTACTTGAAAGTATGTACATGAATTTTGGAAGTAGTAAATTTGAGAAGTTTATTACCTTTAATGAATGTTATCTTTTTTTTTGATATTTAATAATAAACATTTAATATATTGAAATAACCAATATACTATGTATCATGTCAGATAAATGAAAGAACTTAAGTTTAACTTCTGAAACTTCTAATTCATAATTTCGATGGTGATAATAATAATACAAACTTTCATCAACATGGCTTATAGGTTTAAAATTCACTTAGTTTGGTTTGAGTCATTGATTGATATTACTAACTCTTACATAAAATATGCATATAGGTACCATTACCATTGTTTGACTTGATAATTTCGAATAAATTGAGTATTGGATAGATTGTTATAAATAAATTTATATACTTGTAATATTTCAATGATTTGGTTATTTATTTTCTAAAGAAGTAACTTACACTGAATCACGAAACATCAGAAAATTTAATTTTTTTACTCATGGGATATTACAACTATCTTAATTTATATATAAAATGTGTAGTTCATTCATGAGTAAACAAATCTATACTTAGTTATTGGTGAATAAATATAACGAATGAGTTTTGTTCTGTGTAATATTTAAATTGAAAGAACACCTATTTAGAAGTGTCATTCTTATTTATGTTTAATCACATTGTACATTGTATTCTTTTTATTAGGATTTTCAGTTCTAATTCGAAAATCCATATCAACTTCATCAACTCCTTGTAATTTTAAACTGTTTACAGCTGATGAAACATCATGAATTAAAATGATGAATTCATTTTGTTTTGTAAATTGTCAGTCAGTCAGTCAGCTACAACGTAGGACCAAGCACATATGTGCATCGATCCAAATTGCCATACCTCATTAACATAACAAGATGAACACCATATTCATAGAATTAGTTAATTCAATGGTGGTAATATATAAAAGAAAGATTGCATATAAGAACATAGTATAGAAAGAAGGAATTAGTACGTAGAAAGAAAGATATGAAGTGATTTTAAAGGAAGACAGAGAGTGTATATACCTACGTCATTGTGATCGATTCTGAGCCATGTCATCAAGAGTCTCCAACCATTGGTTACGATAGTCGCTTTGTAAATTGTATTAGGGATAAAATACGTATCTGTGCATTTTTTAATGTTTGTGCAATATTTAGCCTTTTTTTTCGTTCATTTGGTAAATAAATGCTTCATATAAGAACATAATTACCACTGAGGATTACATTTCAAGCTTCACATTTCATTTTATTTACTTTTCAATGAGTCAAGTCTAGATGCGTGTTCATAAAAGATATATGCTCATAGTTTTAGATGATAAAAATGATGTCTCCAGTTAGAATTACACTCTTTTATGCAGAATAGATACATTAAATGAACAGAAAAATGTTCAATAAAAGTTGGATATCATGCTTTGATTTAGGAATGAAAAAATATGATTATCCTCTTAGTTGTATTGTTTTTATTCTGTGCAAACTATTTTATTAACAAGTGCTTATATAATCCGAATATGTACTTAGTACCAATTGTCGCTTCTTTTTACTTTGTTTTGTTATATATTTAGTAACCGTTCATATAAACCACATGATTGCATTGATTAATTCACTCATTATGTAATTCTTACAATTATTTTGTTTGTTTATATTTTTGACTTAACAAAAGTTCGAGAATGACTGTTTGTTGCTGTCATCACAAAGATTTGTTTATTATTCTGTCCTTTAGACTAACTTACATTACATTGAAAAAAAAACAAACATATAAAGAATAGGTGTGATATTTTGTCTATATCTTTATATGTGCGTGTGTTGAGATGGCTTCAGTTGGTTGATAGATTGTTTACTTAATTATTTTTCTAGTATAATCAATAATTAAGCGGAGTCAATGCACCTTATGTTGGACAATGTGATTTGTTGAATTATTGTGAATATTAACGACTGATATATGTATATAAATGTTGAGTAATTGTTATTTTGTATTCTTATATGTGTCGATCTGATACAAAATAGTTAAGACTGTCTTATTCCGATTGCTATCTAGTAAAATAGTTGAATATATTACTATTTTATCTTTCCGAATGCTTTATATTATTTGTCTGTATAGAATCATTACACAGCTGCTATATAAATGGTACTTATACCATCAGTTAACCCATTCTTATGCACTTATATTCATCACTAAGGTTTATCTGTAACTATAGTGTAGTTGTTCGATTCGAATAAGGTGGTTTGCTTTTCCCGTATTTCAATAGTAAAATTCTTTGGATGTCGTAATTTTCAGCAGGGTTTCAGACATGTCTTATTAATAAGCAAAGATGGATAGTGGCCAGCAGTGGAATTCAGGACGCGCGTTTCGTCCTATTTGAGACATGTCATCTGGAAGTACTTGCATCTCAGAGTTGATGTCCACTATGGCACTCGAACCCAGTACTGTACACTTCAAACGCCGTCGCGTTATCCACTTAGCTACTGAGTCCTGATAGCGACTTGCTTGTGCAATGAGGTGAAGTTTGAATCACTTAATATTGTTTTACTTGAATCTTCCCACTGATGTTTTAGAACTATTAGGACTCAGTAGCTAAGTGGATAACGCGACGGCGTTTGAAGCGAACGGTACTGAGTTCGAGTCCCAGAGTGAACATCAACTCTGAGATGCAGGTACATCCAGCTGACGAGTCCCAAATAGGACGAAACGCGCGTCCTGGATTCCACTGCTAGCCACTATCCATCTTTGCTTATAATGCCTGTAAATTAAGGCAATATCGAGGCATACGCACAGTATGCACATATGCCAATAAGAGACTGATCATATTTCAGTCCTAAAACATCAATTTGAAGATTCAAGTAAAACAATATCAAGTGATGTTTTATTAATTGTCAATAAATTCAAAGCTTAAATTCAAAGCTTTCTCTTAATCATACATAACTATTGTATATTTTTAGAATTCCAACTCAGTATTGACTTTTTCAGTTCAGTCTTCATCTTGTTAATTTGAATTACTAAATTCTCCTATCACAATATACACAACATGACATCAGATGTTTTTCATTAGTCCATTATTTGACAGCGCATTAAAGGAGCATCACAAACAGGATAAAATTTAAAGATTTTCTTAAAAACATAATAAAATTCAGTGATCATATTACCTCAGTGTACTAGGCTCTAAGAGGTGTTTTACAATGGTGCTGGATTGTTAATAATCAAGCGAGTCTAGTATCTAGACCGGTTGATAGCCCTAGATAGTTTAGGTTAAGAAAGTGAAAGATACCATTTTATTCAGAATTTTTAATTAGCTGATTTACAGTGGTATTTCAAAAACGGGTAATGTGTCTTTAATTTTGTTTTAACTAAAGGTCAAGAGGGTCAGTGCTATATAAATAGTAAATATTCACCTTCTGCACTACAGTTAGATGTGTTGGCTTCTCATACATCAGATCATAGCCACCATTAATGAAAAATCACTATTTTGTAAGAAAAATAAGTGATCACAATTAGATATGGATGAATAAATATAACCTATTTACTTAGTTTATGGGTTGTAGTGATATTCAGCTATCACTCTTAACGATAAAATGTTGATTTCAGTCATTAAGATTGTCTTCATCATACTGTCCTAAATATTACATATGACTGTGTACAGTTCCTCAAAGTAAGCACTTTGAAGACAGTAATTATTAAGTAGTCTCATGACATTAATGAAGAAGGTAAGATATTCGATAATTTTGATGTTTGATTATAATTCCTTGAAAAAGCATGGACTAGATTGCCAGGTGAAACGTTGGACTTACTTCAAATTCATTCGCTAAGATTTTACAAATACTTCCTCCCTCATTAATCTCCCACATCAACTCGGCGCTCAAATACTATGAAACTATTCGATCAAATTTAGACGAAAGTTCTAATATATAGCCTGTTATGCTTGTGAATCAATAAAATCGGTAAACATTGAAGATATCGTTTTGCAGTGGAATCGATTATGACAATTTTCTAAAGGTTAACAAGAGTGTGCCTTTGGCTTTAAGCAAGTTATTCTACAAATTAATACCCATTTTTAGTATTAGACATGGTCCTTATTAACGCAAACACATTCAATGATTTTTATTAGACTATTTACCAGAATGATTTCCAAGTATGAAGCATTAATCCTAAATTTACTGTTGAATAAATTTAGTAATTAAGTTATTTATCTAGACATTTTGTCAATTGTGATGACTCCAAACATTGTCATGAGGACGTCAATATTAGATTGCTGAATATGTTAGTTCAAGTGGAAACATATGGTTACTCGCCTAGTTTAAGCTTATGAACCCCTTTACTTTAGCATATAATGTGCGAATTGGGAAAGCTGTAGCAAAGACTGTTACCCGTTCAACTGATTGTACTATATGTATATGGTTGCCTTATACCGTATGTTTCATGAGATTCATGAATAAAAGGCTTTGAAGAGTTTTAGTAAGCTTCCCAAACCAACTAAATATAATCTGACTTACATTTTTGTTTTGTGTGCTTAAAAGAAGAGTTTTCTTTTTTTTACCAGTATATATACATATATACTTGAAAATCCTTTCAAAAGAATTAAAAGTTGAGCTATAAGACAAGAGGTTTATATTTGTTTGTATGTTTTGTTTATTTATTATCACAGTGCAATGGATTTGCATATGGGAGATCGTATATATTCAATATCAGGTTACCCATTAGACTGGCATACATTAGAACAACTAAGATACAAGCTAATTGAACTGGATGGATTGGCACCAAATTCAAATATTTACGATTTAGCAAACTATCTACTTAATAGGCCTTATCAGAACACTGGGATTTCCCGCGATCATAATTATAATAGAAATAGTAGTGTTTATAAAGTTCCTAGCGAACAAACTAGTTTAACAGATTTTAAACCACCAGTTCTTGTCATTTTTCGTTATCCAAAGTCAAATTCATTGTGGTCCAATCAAATAGCTAATAACGAGACAAATGAATTACCAGTAAGTTTAATTCATACTTAATTTTCAAAATGGTGCCTAATCAAATAATCCATAGACAATCACAATTCCTAAAATCACTATTCAGGCTATCATGGCATAAATAACCAAAGTAATCTACTTACTGATCGCCAAAAATCATTTGAATTTTGCTTCATATAAATGTAGCAACACTAAAGGCAGTTAATTTATGATCATATAATTTTGCGACAAAGTATTGGGATATCAAAAGATTTCGATTTTATAAGCAAAGATGGATAGTGGCCAGCAGTGGAATTCAGGACGCGCGTTTCGTCCTACTTGAGACTTGTCATCTGGAAGTACTTGCATCTCAGAGTTGATGTCCACTATGGCACTCGAACCCAGTACTGTACACTTCAAACGCCATCACCTTATCCACTTAGCTACTGAGTCCTGATAGTCACTTGCTTGTGCAATGGGGTGAAGTTCTAAATTCACTTGATGTTGTTTACTTGTATCTTCCCACTGTTGTTTAGAACTGCAATTGATCAGTCTCCATCTTTGGTTATGGAGCTTGTGACTTAAGGCAATATTGAGGCAGTCCTCACAGGATGCACATATGCCAACAAGAGACTGATCAGTTGCAGTCCTAAACAACAGTGGGAAGATACAAGCAAACAACATCAAGTGGATTTTGATTTTAGAAATATTTATAGAAACTTTTTGACAAAAAGTTGTAACTAATTAGGTGTTTTAAACAAGTTTATAAAAGCCATTTTAAATTCAACAGTTTTGTCAAGCTTACTGATTTCTTAAATTGCAGACGGCAGAGAATAACAGTTTATTCAGTTGTTATGAAACAGTTCTTGAAAATGAAGGTAATGACAATGGGCTTGGTCTACAGATAGGATCCAATCAAGGTATGATGTAATATGATTGAAGTGTTCATGAATATTATTTTGTGATAAACTGAAATGCTTTATGATCCTACCAGATACCAATTACCATTATAATGATAAGAGTTCATTAATATTAAATCTCCATCTGACAAATTATTGAAGAGGAATGATAAGGATGTATTATTAAATAAGAACTTTCGTCTAAATTTGATCGAATAGTTTCGCAGTATTTAAGCGCCCAGTTGATGTGAGACATTAAAGAAGAAGAATGTATTTGTAAAATCTCAGACTGGACCAATCTGGACCAGATTGCTAGACGAAACGTTGGATTAAATTCAAATTCATTCGCTGAGATTTTACAAATACAATTAAGAACTGTTCTCTGGTAACATAGTTTTTCGTTAAATAGATGTTACATCATCCAAAGTCCAAAAAGCCCTGAGAGTAAATTATAGATTTTTATTTAAGTGAAATATATCGTTACACTAGACTGTGACTTATTATTATCAATTAAGTACAGTGAAATATTCAGTTTTACTCATAATATTTTAGTAAGAATTGAATTCCATTACACAGTTAGTAGGAATATCTGAGAACTGACGAATATTACATATTGATAAAGTTATTTTTGTCTGTAATCTAGGATGACTGAATGATCGTTTATTTTGTTGTTATTTTTTTAATAAATCTAACAGATAATACAGGAATTCACATTGTATCTATATTCAAAAATAGTCAAGCTGAAAGAGATGGTGTTTTAAGAGAAGGTGATCGTGTAATTGAGGTAATTTTGTTTAAAATTGTAACCAATGATTAGTGCAATTTAAGAAATAACAGATTACTATTATTGTGATCAAAATTATTTATGAAAACTTCATATTGAAAGCTCAATTGGTGAAGTTTGGAAACACAGATTTTCCTTTATAAAAAATTCAGAAATAACACGCTTAAAAGTTCTCTGAAGTTGTTTGATCCCACAGCCGTTTAATAAATTACAGTACTTATTCAAAGTAAAACTTACCCTAGGAGTGACTGTAGAGGTCACAATTCACTATGATTGATTAAATAATTAGTCTATAAATTGTGTAGTCTGTTGTTTGAAGTTTCATAAATAGAGAAACTGATTTCATAATTGATAATATGCCGTCCTGAATAAGTTTTCCAATGTTTGATACTTATGAAATATCTGAAAAATGTAACATGGGACAATTTCTGAAACCATGTTCAGTGGAGGAAATAAAACTGTAAATGTATTATTCCATTATGTCATACAATTTTCAGATAATAACTAATACAACTGATAATTCTATGTAGGAATATTGAATTAAAAGAAAATCCGTCTTTCAATGTGGAATAGAATCAATATACCCGTCTAGAATATGTGTTCATAAAATACTAATTCAGTTTTGAAGATCAAATAACATTTTATGTAATTTAGACATTTTCAAGTGGATTGATTTCAGTACATTAACTGATTGATATCAACCATTTATTTTAAAAAACTCTACTAACTACACGTTAGCGAGAGAATTAAAATCAATAAATATATAAGTAAATTCTCTAATAGTTGAGTTTATGAGTCAATTAAAGCCATACCACCATAAAAAACCTGGAAGCACTAGATGGCCATTTCGTCCTAATATAAAACTCCTCAGTAGTGCGCATCCATGAACTTCGGTCTCGCGCGCGAGTGCCTAACCTCTAGACTAATGAGCCGGCCAGCATCCAACGAGGTAAATATCTAAATTCAACAAACCCATGAAATTGCACCACCGTGGATGCGCATTGCTGAGGAGTCTCATACTAGAACGAAATGACCATCTAGTGCTTCCAGGTTTTCCATGGTGGTCTAGCTTAGATTGACTCATGAATTCAACTATTAAACTTACTACAATCTCCCCGAAACCCCTTTCTGAAAATAAATTATTGCTTAAAAAATGACAATTAAATTAACTACAGAGGACGGAAAGCGAATGTTGGGCGCTTTAGCCGGATTGGTGGATATGAAGGATCCACCTAGGAAAGTTGGAAAACCCTGATTCCAGAAACCAGTGGTGCACATGGGCTCCCGACGGAATAAATGGCGTATGAACTAGTCGTTGGTCACCGGCAACCATGGGACTGCATCTCTATACGTTGCTCCACTGGCTTGTGGATTAGACCTTTAGGTCAAACGCTAGGGGTTTTGTTCCCGTAAGAAAACCAGCTGCTTCGGTTTGGAAACTCGGGCAGTATCTCAGCCCTCACATAAATCATCCGATTTATATGATGCACGTATATTTGGTGCCTTCCTTGTACCAATGTTTATGTGTTTAAATAAATAAATAAAATAATTTACCTAACTTGTTTGAAAATACACTTTTATTAATTTGTAATGCACATCATAATTGTCTTTTTTTTCCTTTTTTTTCTGAAATTATTTCCTTAATTATTATTCTAGGTGAATTATCAGAATCTTGAGGGATTAGAAAGTAAACAAGCTTTGAAAAAAATTAAAAGTATATGTCGTAACACTAAATATGTACAAATTAAATGTTCAAGAAATAATCAAACTAATAATATTAATAATCATTGTAAGTTGGGTTTATTTTAATTCTTATTCTGTTTGTTAATTCAATTACATGAATCGTTAATTTCTAAATGTAAATATTAATTATTTGGAATTCCTTAATTGGAATTGACTATCTTTAGTTTACTATGTATAATTTTGATCATTTTAATGATTAAATTCCTTTGGTGTTTTAAAAGTCTAGTCTAATAATTAGTTTTATTTAACCTAATTAGTGCTATATATTAATTGTAAATTTTGAGTTACATACTATGTTTAATAATTCTATGTTTATCAGAATGGGTTTTGTGGAGAATTTTAGAATTTTCACAGTTTTTTGAAATCATGAGTCAGTTGAAGCTAGACCACCATTGAAAACCTGGAAGCACTGGACGGCCGTTTCGTCCTGGTATGGGACTCCTCAGCAGTGCGGGATCGTGGATGCGCACTGCTGAGGAGTCCCATACCAGGACGAAACGGCCGTCCAGTGCTTCCAGGTTTTCAATGGTGGTCTAGCTTCAACTGACTCATGATTTCAAAAAACTGTGAAAATTCTATGTTTATAAGTGATACTGTGGTGTATGCTACTTATGTCAACAGACATAAGTAGTTTGTAACAGTATTCGGAAGTGGAAAACCTGGCAGCAGAAGACGGTGAAACTGTAATCTATGGATGACGTTTGAGCGACACTAGACTGATATTGATAGTGTCCACCTGATAACTAGGACCAAATGAGGGTTAGAAATTAGTGTGAGTGATTCGAATTATGATTTGCAGTTGATGGTTAAGGTTAGGAATTAGATTTAAGGATTTCATCACGAACTGACATAAGCTATAATGCCAAGACTCTATTTAACCAAATGTATGAGTGAATTTCGCGCCAAAATCCGAGACCTGTTATTTAATATGTGATTGGTTCGTCCATAAATTGTACTCTCGCCCAGAAGACTATGAAGATTGAGTTGAAGAGAATAGAAGGGACAATAAAAAGGAATTGTGAATTTGAAGAATCATACAGAATGTGAAGGACAATTGATGGAAATTTACAAATGAGGTATTCAGTATATGGTTAGCATATCAATAAGTAACGACTCTTTTACATTTTTAAGAGTAATATTACACAAGATATCCTCATTTGTCATATATTATCACTTATATCAATGCGCATTAAATTATCGATAAACCAGCGATGATAAAATCAGAATAACTCATCATGATTTCGTCCTGAATGAATGATTAGAAAAATGTCATTAACTTTGAACATCTTGTTAGGCTAGAGGATAATTCATGGTCTCTTATAGCATTTTTTCTTTCTGAGATACCATAAGAGTTATTTGGTTAAAATAATTTCTACAAAGGTAATACATTGAACATTGTAATACCTAACTAAATATTATAAACTTCCTTTATCATTGTTTTTATAGTGATATCACCTTGTGATGATAAAAAAGAACAGCTTGAAGACAATAATCTACATGATCCTATATTGAATAATGAAGATGTTAATAATATTAGTATTGATGTGAAAAGTGTTTTAACTCGGACACAATCACCGACAATGAATAATTCAGATACATCTATATATGATTCTCAAGATGATTCTGTCTTGTTTTATAATTGTAAATTCAATCAACCTGGTAAAAATGTTATTATTTAAATTCAATGTAAAAATATTACTTATTATTGTATTATACATTTATGTATAATTTTTTAAATATTTTGTTCTGGTTTCAATTATGAAACATGAAAGATTAACATGATCCAATAGGTTAATTGTTTCATGTTGATTAAAAAGTAGCCAACAGGAAAACTTGAACCTAGGTTTCGTACTACTTGGCACTCGTCAGCAAGGTTTACCTGTATTATTCTTGAGAGGACTGGTGCTCCCTGACGGGTCCGACCCCATGTCACCCAGCCTCACAGTCAGAGACGTTACCACTGGACTATCCGGGTCGCAACTGACCTCCTGTACGACTGAAATGTATTTACAATTGATTGATCACTAGGTGGTGATTAATATCATGTATGTCAGATCCTTTTAGTGCAGATCGAATCCTATCGACCAAGTTATTGTTAATTGGAATTTGTATGTTTAAAATAATTCATCAGATTACCGGATAATATCGCAATATTGTAGTTGTGATGTATTCATTATTAATTTCATTATTATTACACCATTTTATTATCAAGAATCTTGCAAAATGTGATTTTATAGTTTCAACGTTCCATGATAAAAACCATAACAGTTAGTTGTCAGTCAGTCAGTAACAACGTAGAACTTCGTACGCACGTACATCAGTTCGAGTTGCCATACCACATTAGCACATAGATGCAGTTGTCGATTCAAATCCAATAGTGGTAGAAGTAGCAAAATTATAAGCAGTAATCGGAAAGACTGTAGAGGGGTGTGATAACAGTAAGGTGTTTCCCTCTGACAACCAGCATCTGCAGCGATACTGCGTTCTCACAAGGAAAGAAGGGGTTAGAAAAGGTCGACCCTAAAAATGTCACACCTCACCTTACCTCATGGATTTTCGTCTCCGGCGGTAAGGTCCTTTGAAGAACGGAGCTAACACTTCAAAAATCTCCCACAAAAAGGCCGCGCGCGATCGGCCTGAAGCAGTTGTCCCTTGGGCTCTGCGGTCACGCTCCCAGGTCGTTAAGGCCAACATCAATTATCATGACTAACTTTGATTACTAATTAATCAGGTACATGAATAAAGAAGACCTTTGTTCAGTAATGAGATATATTTCCTGTAATAATTTTGAATGTGCTTAGTAAGCTCTTTCTATGATTGATTTTCATCTTATCATTTATGATATCCGTAGAAAATTTTACTGTCTATCCAGTTTTTAAATAAATAGTCTAATATCTTATTAAAAAACCATGAACAAAACTCGCTAACAATGCGACCGTAGTAGACAACTATTTCTGAGTATGTATCAAGTTTCAAATTCTTCATCAGCTAATAAGACTAATTTTTTAGTTCCTTTTACTTACCTTTATATATATATATATATATATATATATATATATATATATATATATATCACATTATTTATTTGATTGTTCCTCTAATAGATGAAGAATGTATGAATGAGACGGATAGTAATGATAAAAGTTTGTTGAAAAAGTGGTTAGATGTATTCAATCCTGATGTTGAATTATTGGTAAGAAACTATATTATTATCGTTGGTATTATTATGACAGTTATACACCAGTTAATGTATATAACCATGTATATATCTCATAGTAAACGGCTTCTTTTTTTTTACAGTTATATATGTGAAACCATGATACAAAGATATTGATATGTAGCATTATTTTATCACAAGAGTTTACAATATTTATCACGATACGAAAGTTACTTCATTGATTTCTCTGTTACAGAAACACTAGTAACATCTGAAACATACAACTAGATGACGAGTGTTAAAAATATCATAGAAGAAGACCTAATAAATAACCTTGATTGTTTTGTAGTGTTTGAACAAAATACAATTTATTCAGACATGTTCAGATGTTCTTCCAAAAATTATTAATTTCATGTGATAAGAACTTTGTAATGAATAATACCTCGATAAGAGGGAATTTAATATTAATCACTGCTGATTTACAAATTGAAACACTATTTAAACATCCCACTTTTAGGTAATCAGTTAAAATAAAATTAGCAAAGTGCATAAAGATGTCCAATGGGGAATGAGAGATTAAGAGGGATATAGAATTTAGAGAAGATGTTTAATTCCCCCTTTGTACTTTAAAAATAAATATATCTGCATAGGTGGAATTATGAGCTATGCATCATAATTCTTTAAACCTTAAGTTCTACAGTTGAGACAAGTATTCTGTATTTTCATCTGTATATTATTTGTTATACATTATGATGTGTAATATATTTCCTGGTGTACATTCGTGTCTTTTTTTGAGTATTTAATCAGATCTATTCGTTCGACTACACGAAAGAAACCATATATCATTAAATATGTGTCGGATAATATTTCAAACCTCACCCAAACAGTCATTTTTTCACTATCTTATTTATGTGTTTATCCCTTTTAAATGTTTAAACAAACATTCTGTTCGAATGTACTTATCCTATTGTTCTTATCATTTCATAGCTGCATTTTATTAGTTATTTGAACGGATACTTAAGATCTTGGTAGATATTTTTGTGCCATAAAATTTCATTAACGGACATTTCTTTATTGTAGTATTACGTTGAATCACTTCAAATGATATATTTCAAGGTCTATATATTTGTTAGTCAATCAACGGTTGCCATGGAGTAGCTAATCGTATCCACCTCTTCTGTTGATCATGTTCTTCTTCACCCATATATACAAAGCTTCGGCTGTCAGTGTTACTTCATGAGCGCCGAGACCTTTCTGAAGTATTTTCATGCGTTCAAAGTTTATCCTATTTTTGATAGAGGTAGTGCTATTGTCGATTTACTTTCAAGTTTCTTGAGTTAGTCTGATGATTTCGAAAATTTTCCAAACACTGTTTGTGCTCCCCGTTCACCCACATTATTAACTGTGTGGATATTTATCCCACACACACCGTATTATGCTCATGATACTCAATTTCGAACACACTCTTTTTATTTCTTTAATGGTATCCTATCCTTTACTTTCACCAATGCCAATCTGGCGGTATCTTTAGCTCAAAAACAAACTGTTGTATCATGTTTATACAGACTTCTTCCTATGTCTTCCAATGTTTTGTCAACACATATATAGCATTATTTAACTATAGACTTATGTTTTTGTAGTTAGTATATTATGACATCAAAAATTCAAATTGTGGTTTGGGTATTGGAGTCGGGGATACTGTAGAAGATGACGAAATATTTGGTGAAAATCAACATCGTCATTATATAATGGAAATTAATCCTGAAGGACCTATTGGCAAAGATGGAACCTTATCTATTGGAGATGAGTTACTTGAAGTTAGTTTTCTCTATTTGTTATGATTTGTGATAAATGTGAATGAATTCATTTTCTTTATAATGAAAACAATCTATCTCATTATTACAAAGGTCACAGAGTTGATTTATAAAATTGATTTGAAGTGTATAAGCAAGATACATTTTTACTATAATCTTCAAGATGGCTAAGGTAGATAGGCAAACTAGAAGTCATCGTAGCGAATAAATTTGAAAGACTAGGTATAGTATTCACCCTGTTTTATGAATACATTCTAATTATGGAGAAACCGATAAAAGATAGGATCTCATTCATAAGCCTGATTTCCAAGCGTTTGAGAATATGGAGTATTAGTTTTGATGCATTTTAAATAATAAACATTCAGAGTATATCGAAACTATTCCACTTCTCAGAAGGAATTGTCATAAAGTGTTGACAAAAGGATCTAGTCCATTATTTTATTCTAATAATTTATTCATTGGGAGTTTTGATTTTGATGACCTAGTTATTTATCGTTTTCAGTCCTCGAATTTAACTCATTCCAACAATCTGTTTAGGTAATCAGTTAACAGTGATAACGTTTCTTCATTAATTAAGATCTGAAAATTGTCTTTCTAACCTGATGAGGCTTGTTTTTTTATTTTCTAACTTGATTTGTTTGCAATGATTTTGAGTAATTATTTTATCTTCTCACAATAAATAATACTGTTTGATTGAATTACATTAGTTATTACTGAAATTTCCAGATGTTTGTTACTGAATAGAAACCATGTTTATTAATAAGATACTGATTAATTTCACTTGGTTCAACTGTATATCTTTCTATAATGATGTTTTTTCTCTCACTAAATTATTCACTTGCCAAATATTAGAATACATAAACTTTTGTCGTATCATCTGTTTTGGTAGAAATGTATATATTTACTTTGTGTTTTGAAAGTTATATCTGATATGATTTAGTATTCACTGCTGAAAAGTCTCATACTAGGACGAAACGGCTGTCCAGTGCTTCCAGGTTTTTCTTGGTGGTCTAGCTTCAATTAATTCATGATCTCAACGATTAAGAGAGAGAACCATTAAAAACATGAGAATATAAGCTGTTTTGACCTATTATGAAACTTCTTAATAGTACACACGCTACAAGCTCGCTAAAGGTGGAATTGGGTCTCATAGTCATTATTCAATTTTCTAGGCTACTGGATCATAAATTCAGTTAATTTGTAACATTGTGTGTACGACATTCATTGTCTTTGATGATATCTGTTATATTCCTAAGGTGACTAGATTTTACAAAACATGACGTTCTACTAGAAGTTTTGGAATTCAACTCAAACCCAATCACTAATGTTTTATTCAAAAGTTTTGGATTGTTTATTTCAGATCGAAGCTTATTTCCTTTACAAATTGATATTGACAGTGGAACCATAGGAAACCAGAAAGTTATTGAAAAGCTGTAATCTTGTTGATTTGGATATCTCAGCATTTTAGTTTTCTTCTACAAACCAACAATTAGTTATCATCTAAAACCATAGTATAATACATTTATTTTTTTTTACGTTTTAATAATATAACTACACATGTCTTATATATTTCAGATTAATAATGTTGTTATCGTTAACAAAGATCATTTAGAGATCTCCAGTATTTTTCCTACTATTCCTTCTGAAGGATATTTAATATGTGCTCGTTATCCAAATAAATCTCGAATTGATATCAAAGTAGAGAGTGTAAATGATGAATTAGCCAGTGTTGTTTTCTTCACTCAAACTCTAAGTGATGGTGAGATTCTTGAAGACGATTTCAATGAGCAGATTTCGGATAATAATCTTTTCGATGAAACCAATTCAGGAATTAAAAATAACATAGCCTTAGCACCACCGAACAATGAAGAAGGAATTGATCAACATTCTGGATCTGATATTGATGAAAGTCGATATCCAATAAAACTATTGACGATTTCTAATTCTGCTCTGCAGAATAAAAGTTCCAGTCTTGAATTCCAAAGTGAAGATATTCAAACTGATAAAATGGTATTTTTCTAAAACTTGGTACTTAATTTTGTCAGTGTTTCATGATCACTAAGAATTTTTAACGATATATAACCAATATTAGTAGTATTTCACTTTTATCCATTTAACTAGTGGAATTCTCAACAAAATCGTATTTACAATTATAATTTCGTGGAGGTTGTTGTGACGGGATGAAGGGTCAAAATTAGATTGATTTACCCATTATGATTTTTATTCAACATTGATTCCGTTTAATTCAATTTGATGATCACTTAGTATAGTATTTGTTTCGTTTTCCCCTATAACATTTTATTCTGTCTATTATGCCACATTCTTTTATGAATTATTTTTCATATATGTGGTTTATTCTGATTATTAATCGAAAATGGGTGTACAAACCAATGAGTGCATTTCCGACTAGACTTGTCGGAATATATTTCCCTTTCTTGAACTTCCACATCTCTCTCTAGTTAGCGGGGTCGGGACTCATCAGAATAGCTAGCTTATTGGTCTTTGGTCACAGAGTCTTTGTTCCGTTCGCAGACTAGGTGAACTCGTAATCGCTTCAAACATAGCAGAGATGTTGACAGGATTCAATCAAACTTGATAATTTCAACCGTGGTGCAGAGAAATTACAATGAAAGTTCTCAATAGCGTCTTATGTGAAGTTTATATTTCAACCTTACTTAATCATAAGAAAAGAAATTTAGACCATTTATTATTTTTTGTTATGAACTAGGCTCTTGGTTGATACATTGATCATTACTAAATTACTGTAGTTAGGTTGAGCTACTTTAAACTCTATTCAGTAGTTAAGTGCTAACTATATAAATTTCAAATGTGCTTTAGTTTGTTAATGTTTAACAGCCCATTATCTAATCAAGCAGGTTTTAACTGAATCTAATTAATATCGTCATTTCAACATTAAAGTCTATTGATTAAGACTTCTGTATACATTTGTTATACAGAATTCTACTGTTATAGTTAAGATATTCACTAATTGAAATGGGATTTCAGAATTAATGACATGGTTTTAAACAGATATTCGTTAGTGATTTTCGGTAAATGGTTAAATGTACATCATGATATTTTACACTACTTCTTCTATGTTACACTAGCACGTCCAAAAATATATAATGCTGCGGAAAATATGTATAAATATGTATATATTAATATGTGCTGTCAGATTTATTACGAAATTAACAACGTAGACAAGTGTTTTAACGAAATATTTCGGATGACTTCGCACTTACAGTTTATCAGATTAGTAATAAGGATCGCGTTTCATAATTTTTGTGGCGAACATAGTCTAGCATTTTTTTAATACTCTTAACTCTGTCGTTTTATTTTACTTTCAGAGTTATGAGTTAGTTAAAGTCTACGGACATATTTACCAGAATTTTAGAAAAGAAACATTTTGTAGCTCAAATGAAAGGTAGTCAGAATACGTTTAGCAGAACTTTGATGTAAACATTTGAATATCAGTTCTTCTTTATAGGTCACAGAGCTTGAGGTTAATTGGTTCCCGTCAAACAAACCATTTTTAAAGATTGATTGTATACGGATTATCGATATTGTCCCATTTCACTTTACTATTCTGGTCAGATCAAGCTTCATACTTAATCAAAACTCTAATTCTGTAGGTTTACCATATAAAATATCGACTGTGTTGCTTATGGGTAATTACTCCATCAACTATTCATTTGTTTCTTTTACGTAGTTAATACCTTTATTTTGTAAAAAAATTACGTGTATTTATTTTAGATAAACGAAGATATTAAACCAGAAATTGATAAGAATAACCTAATAATGAGTGATCAGAAACCTATCGAATCGACACTAATAAGTTCACTACAACGTCTACCAATGGCTGTTAAATTAGTGAAATCCATGGAAAAATTACCGTCTCAAGTGTCCGGTTCAATTTCTGAAAATAATAATCCAGACCATACTAATCTGATTCAATCGAATGAAATAACCAATCGAAATGATGATAATGATGTGTTAACTGTTAAAGTTTTGAAAAAAGCCGGTGAAATACTTGGTAAGGTATAAAAAATAAATTAATAGAAATAAGTTTTCAGTCCATAATAATTATTTATCTTATATGTGATATTGTGACTGTAATTTACATAACTATTTATGAATTCTAGTAATCTAAGAGTATCATTTTCTTCTATGGATATGGATAATTTTATGCCAGGCAGTGCCGTTGATGCTTATAACTTAGGAATAAGAAACTTAAGTCGACAAGCTTTCAGGTCACAGTGTTTTTCAATCGTTTTATAGGTAGTAACATTAGCCAGCTTTGGTGAACAATTGAAAATCAAATAAATCCTGTTAGTTCAGAAAGTTTCTCGAACACTACTAGTCGAATCAGAGCCTAAGACGAACTGTCGTCTGATTTTGAGACCTCAAGTGGTGTTCGTTGAGGCTGTCCACTATCTCTTTGTTTAACCTACTTCTGGAAATAACGCTCTTGTCGACTGAATTCTTGGGGATTGATCTCCTACCACGATATAGGTCTGTTTGGCGAAGACACCGATAAAATGTAGAGTCATCTGGTAGCACTAAGCAACAATGCCAGAATGTTTGGAATGCGCTTCTCTCCCTCTAAATGCGAGTTGTTGCTTCAGAAGTGGTCTGCGTCAACACCTGAACTAAGGATAGGGAGTTAAGTAGTCGAACGCGTTGACAACTTCACTTATCTTGGAAGTCTGATCAGCCCTAATGGGTTGTTGTCTGACGAAATCTGTGCACGGTTTCGAAAATCTCGTTTGGCTTTTGCTAACTTATGTCACCTATGGCAAAGGAGAGATATCCGTCTATCAATAAGAGGACGAGTATACTGCTCAGGAGTTCGTTCTGTTCTACTTTACGACTGCGAAATATGGCCATTTAGAGTAGAAGATACTCGTAAATTGATAGTATTTGATCACAGATGTCTTAGAAATATTGCTCGAATCTGCTGGGATCACCGGGTAAGTAATAATGGGGTTAGACACAGGGTATTATGGAATGATGGCGAATGAGTTAATGGGTTTGTGAATCTTGATCGACTGAGATGGTTGAGCCACGTGTTGCGTGTGCCTGAACACTAATTACCACGACGTGCAATTTTAACCGGTGTTGGGGATGGTTGGAAGAAAGTTAGGTGCGGTCAAACCGAAACGTGACATCAGTGCTTGAAGACACTAACTTCTAGTCTGAGCCACGTTGGTAGATGCAGACTACTTGGTTGTGGTCCGCGTGACTATCGTAACCAATGGTTGGAGACTCTTGATGACATGGCTCAGAATCGATCACAATGACGTAGGTATATACACTCTCTGTCTTCCTTTAAAATCACTTCATATCTTTCTTTCTACGTACTAATTCCTTCTTTGTATGCTATGTTCTTATATGCAATCTTTCTTTTATATATTGCCACTATTGAATTAACTACTTCTATGAATATGGTGTTCATCTTGTTATATTAAAGGGGTGTGTCAACTTGAACCGATGCATATATGTACCTGGTCCTAGGTTGTAGTTGACCGACTTCAGACAGGCAGTATTTGTATAGTATACTGGTAAATGAAAACTTATGTAGTTTTTGTAAAAAAATTGCAGGTAATGGTGATGTTTTAATTCTGTAACTGCATGTGTATGTCTGGATTTTATTTGACAATTCTGTAAATGGTTTGCAATGAAACACAAAACATTGGTTATCAAGTCGTATCTCTTGTTATTAACCACGTATTCTATTTGATTCTAAAACTTTTTTTGATGTATCATAAAATTTCCGTTTTGCATTCCAAACGTCAAAATGTATCTTAAATACTATTAGGTGATTGAATATGAATCCCAAGGATCCTTTGAATATGCTTTCGTGATACTCAGCACTAATCCTTAAAACTTGTTTTTAAACCACTAAATGGACTTGTTCACGGGGATTTTAAGTCGAATGTTTTAATTATGAAATAATCACTGTCTTACAGCTATATGATATCATAAAACCTTAATGAAATTGAATCTAAATTATAAATGCTCTACTAATTAGTAATTGTTTCATCGCCATAAAGTCATAAGAGTATATTTCAAAGTTACATAATGGATTGATTTATGAAAAGAAAACCTGATTTAAGAAAATGTTTTGTACAATTTACATTATTTAAATAAGAGAGTCTTGATATTCAAACAGATATCAAAAGCATGAAATATAACATTGTTTTATGAAACTGTAAACATATGTGATTTTAGTATAATAAAACAAACCTACATACTCTTAGCGTAGTGTATTTTTCTTACAAATATATTTTGGACTATATTTTTTAGGTTTAGAACTGGAATTAGAAAGTGGAGATGAAAGAGGTATAAAACTTGCACATATTACTCCTGGAAGTCCAGTAGATCGTTTGAAATATTGGAATAAATACAAATCTATGGATTATATTCAAACTGATTCAGACTATTCAAAACTTTCAGATACTTCTTGTATAAATGGTGATCATTTACGCATTCCTACTGCTGGTGATCGAATTCTAAGTGTATCAGATTACAGTTTTCAAAATATGTCAGCTTTTACAGCATTAAGATTATTAAGAAAATTGATTTCTTATTCTGGTTTTATAAAGTAAGTTATTGAAAGAAATTCATTTAACATTTAGTTCTTTTTTATCGATATTACTTACCTTTCGTCTAGATTATAATCAAAATAGATTTTTGTAGCAATTTCGGTGGGACTATAGTTTATGGACGAACCAATCACGTATAAGATAACAGGTCTCGGATTTTGGCGCGAAAGTCATCCATACATTTGGCTAAATAGAGTTTTGGCATTATAGCTGGTGTCAGTTCGTGATGAAAAACCTAAATCAAATTTTTAACCCTAACTAGTTTATAACCCTCATTTAGTCCTAATCATTAGGTGTCCATTCTCAAGATCATTTCAGCGTCGTTCAAAGGTCGTCCATAAATTACAGTCTCATGGCAATTTTATTTGATTGTTCTGTATTTAAATTCCGTATCGTCTAAAATATTTACAACATCTACAGATAAATTTCATTTATATCATGACGAATTAAAAGTTCAGACTGTTATATTTACAAAGAATAATTAAATTAGTTTACATGGACAAATGAAACTTCTAGTCAGTTATAATAAATATATAGTCTAGTATAAATGTGCGTTGATCGGAATTGCTACACAATCACAGTATAACGACGTGAAATTAATAAGGTGTATGGTGAAGATATCATAATAATGAAGTGGAAACAGTTTTAAGAATATAGTTTAAAAGAACAGGATGAAGCACTTTTTAAACAGAGCAAACACAACATGGTTCACAGAATAGAATGAATCCATTCTATTTCATAGTCTCTCATCCGCTGAATACAACCTTAAATTACAATTACTAATAAAAATATAATTATTAACAAATGTTTATCATACTTTAATTTGTGAAGTTTAGATGAATGTTCTAAGAGTAATCAAAATCATAATCAGAAGATTAGGGATAAGAAGTGTGTATTAGAACACAACATACTAAACCAGCTATGTTGATGATACGTTCATTATCTCTGACTACGCTTCTCAGTTACTTAGTCACTTTAACAACTCTCACTCTAACATAACGTTTACAATAAAATAAAAAAAGAGATATCCAATTCAATTTTTTAGATCTTAGTTTAAGACGGAGAAAATTGATGGAAGTCTTAAGAAGAGTACATATATGGGAAAGGAGCATGAACAGGACAGTACTTGAACTGTAACAGTTTTTGTCCCATCAGTTACGAAAGATGTCTAGTCAAAACGCTCTTCGATTGATTTAGAATGTTATACTCAAATGGCAAAATAAATGAAGAATTGGCTATTCTGGAGAAGCAACTCATAAAAAATGAATACCTGAGGAAATGCATTACGAAATATGGAAAAGAACATCTCAAGGATGATAAACCATCGATTGTTAGCAAGAGGCCCGTTTTTTATGTGCCTTCCGATCAAGAGGGAGCTGAGATTTCAAGAAAAATCGATGGAGGAGTCACGGCGGCACTGAAAAAAGCTTCATTGCTGTTCATTTGGCTTCACTATACAATACCAAGTGTTTTCCGTACCACTCAAAGGTAGATCAATACCCTTCTGAGATCACTTATTACATTTATGAATTCACATGTACCTGCAGTGGCAAGCACATAGAGAGGACAGAGAGAAAGGTCTCCAAAACGAACTAGAGTCTTTACAATTGGAATCACCAGATGTCTAGATAGTGGACACGAGTGAATGTAAGAGATGCATTCAAAATAATCAACAGACAAAATACACCAATCTCATTCCGTTGTGCAGAGGCAATCGCTATCCAAGGTTACCGAATTGACTTATGTGTACAAAAGGGAAGTTTGATTAGCCTTTCTCTGTCATGGTGATTGGATACTTGTCTGATAATCTTTGTTAATCTCAAAACAGTTTTTCAACTGTCCCCCAAACTTTTATTATTCTTTCGTCTTCTGATATTCATCTCTTACATAATATGACTGATGGTCACATACTTGCCTATTTTGTCATATAGAGAGATTATCCAATCACTCGTTAATTTCATTACTTTTACATAACCTCGTAATTAATACTTCCCAACATATAAATACACATCGATCTTGACTTTGTTTATTCATACTTCTGATTATGATTTTGGCTAATCTTCGAACAGTTATCTAAACTTCACAAACTAAAGTATGCTAAACATTTGTTAATAATTATATTTTTATTATTAATTGTAATTTAAGGTTGTATTCAGCGGATGAGAGACTGTGAAATAGAATGAATTCATTTTATTCTGTGATCCTTGTTGTTCTTGCTCTGTTTACAGTTATCAAGGGATCTGGTTGTATGAAAATATTTTTATAAATGAATAATGAAACTTTAAACTTACAGTAACAAAAAGACGGATGTATCTAGTTCTCCAATAACTAATCGAGGTTATATTGCGGACCTCAGGTAATCTGCATCTGTCACTATGACTTAGACCAACAGTCAACCAATTATTAGACTGATACAACATTGGGGTTTTGACACCTTTTGTATTTTTTATAACTCACTTGTACATCAGTAAACACTACCTGTCGAGGTATGTGGCACTCAACCAGACATCATTTTACGGACATATATTTTGCTGTAAGCTTACATAAAGACGCGTTTAAAAACATTGTTTCAAACCAAAAGTTGCAAAATTTCTTGACGATAGTATCTCAATAGACAAATTTCATAATGTAATTATTATGGAGCATTTATTGGTTAAATGTTGAATAGTAATTTTACTCGATATAAAGTCACTGGTTTTACATTAATAACAGAGTTGTTCAAGACACGCAATAATACTTCGAATCCCTAGATTAATGACTTTACCAAGTATAGAATAGTTCTAAAATCACTCCCCTCTTTTTATCTTGACTAATGTAATTACTTGCAATCGCGTTAAAAGTTGATGAAATTAAAATTTGATTTTATAGTACAGAGTATTTCTAAATGTTACCACATATTACTCCTTCTACCAGGGTACATTCTAGGGAAGTATAAACTTTAAAGGATCCACCTCTTTTTTAATATATAATAAATGGTTAATATGAAATAATTATATAAAAGAAATAACAGGAATTTTACTTAAAATCAAAATTGTTTAACATAAATTGTCAATATTAATCGTGGTTATTGAAATGAAATCGAATTTTTCTCTCCTCTAATCGTCAACTTTCGGTTGTTTTTGTTGTTGTCGTTGTTGTTGTTTTTTGTTTTTGCTTGTGTTTATCCATTTCTCTCATTCATTCATCCGTCACTTATATTCTTGTTACAAAATAAGTCACTGTTAAATTAAACATAATTATATTAATCATTCTAATTTCATTCCTTTATTAATATTCATTTGCTTGACTTATTTTCCATTTTTACTTTTTTGTCAAAAGAAAATCTTTATTTTTGATTTTGTCTTCCTGACTAACTTTAGGATAACTAGTTGACAACAACAACAACAGCAAACAAAAAAACGAAAAAGAAAATGTGTTAAATAAAATAAAACAAAAGAATTTTTAAAAAGAAAAACAACTAGTCAATATTATTTATTTCTCAATTCCAGGGATGCCTATAATCATTCTAAATAGCGATTGTTATAATCATAACAGGAAGTGTAAATTCTTTTTGTTTTACAAAATGTTGATTGGGATGCATATATGTGAATAGTATATTAATTTAATGCATGCTTACAAAGGATAAATGAAATGAATTTATGACGGAAATTAGACTAACTATTTTGCGTGTATGCATAGGCAGTTAAATAAGTTTTTTCCAGTGTAGGATTATGGAAATTGTTAAGTTTTGATTAATATGATGAATTGATTGATGTTAGATTACTATTAAAAACCTGGAAGCACTGGATGGCTGTTTCATCCTATTATGGGACTCTTCAGTAAGGTGCATTTACGATCCCACACACGGAATTTGAGATAATCCATGTCAGGTAGTGACAAGTATCTACCTCAGAAAATGGAAGATAGTCGCTCAATTTCGTGAATTGGATTCCGATCGGCTCAGTGGTCTAGAGGTCAAGCGTTCGAGTGTTAGACCGAAGGACGTGATTTTGAATCCTGCGTGCGAGATCGTGAATGTGCACTACGGATGAGTCCCATACTAGGACGAAACGGCCATTCAGTGCTTCCAAATTTTCAATGGTGATCTAACGTTTTTCATTAAAAAGTACTTTAATAGAATTGTTTAAGTTAATGAAGGAATTTATTTTCATTGCTTTTTATCGAAGCAGATATTATGAAAGTATTCAAAATTATCTTAAGAAATAAACAATCGGTATTTTTATTACTGATCATGGCGAACTGATTTTATCAGCATTTTATCTAGTTAATTATTATTACGTCATATACAGTAATGTTTCTCATTACCATTGCTCCTTTGACATAAATATCATTCCATAAAAATAAAAAATATATATAATTGCTCCGTAGACATTAACCATAAAATAATAAATAGTGAAAAGTAATTTCCATCACTAACTGACATCAGCTGGAAAACTGAAGAACACTTCCTCCTCTTTTTTTTAGTCAAGTTCTCACTACAATTTTCTTTTGTTTTTAGGTAAAGATTAGCTTGAAATCATTTCAATTGTTAAGTTGTTGTAACCTGTAAAAATTGTCACTTAATATGGTATTGAGCAATGACTTAAACAAAACTCTTCATACTGCTTGAGCTGTTTACACCGAAGATATTGGTAAATAGTTCGTAGTTTCGTTTGTTTTAATGATGCACTTACGATTTCTATCATTTAAACGTTATGGTTTTATGATAACATCTTCTTTTTCGAATGAAAACCAATGACATAAAAAGTGAAAAACATTAGATTTAGTTCAATGTTTGTTCTAAAGATTATGATTACATCATCAATGCATCACAATTCTATGACCATTAATACTTTATTTCTATTTTAATAGTAATCTGAAGTTCATCATATTAAATGATTAACATCTTTTATTTCTTTAATATTTTTATTGTGTATTAAGGTTGGAACTAGATTTTATTTATTTATTTATTTATTTATTTGAACGCATAAATATTAGTACAAAGGGGCACTGAATACATATGCGCCACATAAGTCACTTGATATGTATGTGGGCTGTGGTACTGCAATGTTAGGTGATGCAGTCCCATCGTAGTCGGTGACCAACAATAGGTTCATACGCCATTTTGTTCTCTCAGGATCCTGGAGCCCATGTGCACCAACTTCCCTAGGTGGATCTTACATATACATCAACCCGGTTTAAGTGCTACGCATTTGCATTTCGTCCTCTCAATTTCATAAACAACACCCCTGCCGCGAGAAGGAAGTAGGTAGGGTTTCCCTGACAGTAGTTGTATGCACGTTTCTATGTGAGAGCATATAGAGAGGGAAAGCTGACTCTCCCCACCTTCGGCTGTACCACGGCATTTAGAGGTGATAATTTTGGTTAGCAATATTTGGAGGCATAAATGTTGTGATACAAATTAACACAAGTTTAAATAATACAACGAATTAACCCATTTAAACGTTTGTTACAAATAAACAAGTTTGATCACGTCAATATTATGCCATTCCGTTAATTTACTATTTTTACGTCATAAACTTGTCCTTCATGAAAGTTTCTTTGCATGGAATCACGTTTTCTTTTTATTGAAAAAGAAAATTATCAAATGGAACTTACATAAGCAAATATAACCTATTTCAAGATTTGGCCATATGATAATGCTGCATTATAAATTTTAGTGAATATGCTTATTTTTAATCTGTACAACTTAGATAATGCTTTGAAAAAAACCCAACATGATTGTCAATGAAAAACCTTTCTTTTTGACCATCTAGTAATCAATTGAAAAATGACCATGTTTTGATGAATAATCTCGATGGTGGAGAACGTCTTCAGGTTTATATATATTCTAGAGGGATTTACTTTTGAAGTATTTTGTTATAGTAAACCAATGTATATGCCTTTCTGAATGGCAAACTTGTATTAAGTAATAAAAACAATAGTTATTTCTTTGTATCCCTTTTGGCTTTTTACATAATAAAAGAGACTATTGTGAATTAAAACATATCTAAGAGAGATTATCAATAGTTAGATTTAATTCCGGGTGTATCCATTATAATATCTTATAATATTATTTGTATACATTTAACTCATATTTCAATTCAGTGATTCCGATATGATTCATATTACATGTTATCTCACATTGGATTATGTCTAGATTAAGTATGATTAATTTTGATTATGAAAATAACATCTAAAGTGAAATTTATCATAATATTTAACAATATAAATAGATTTTCAAAACAAACAAATGTATTCACAAGGAAATTTGATCTGTCTACTTAATTTCGATTATATAGGCTTACCATACTATATAAACACGCAAATCCTACATTAATCTATAGTTGTTCCATATTCTCTCGTTTTGTAATATCCTATTACAAAGTTAACTTATTTTGAATGAAATATATTTGTATTTGTATGTACACTTATTAAATTTTTCATTTACATCAAATTTTCCGACAACTTGAAATGAATGTCATATTAACTGTGTAAAGTCGAATCCATCTACTTACTCACTTGAATTAGGATTTTTAAAAAAAAGTATAATATTACAAGAGCATATTTGAATTTGGTAATATTGTTTGAATCAAGTAAGTTATAAGTCTACGGTGGCCGCAATAAATTTATTTTTATTGTTTTTTTTTGAAATACTATTCATTGTATTCCAGTTGAATAAAAATAATTGTGTTGTTTTAATGGACCTAGTTGTTGAAATGCTGATATTAAGTTTAATCAGTTATTTGTCAATGTGCTTATTAATAACTTACCCATCTCATAGTCTGTGTATTACTGAACAAAATATTTTAAGTCAGGACACCTAATTATTTTTTTCTTTCAAATTTCTTCTTCTGAAATGGAATTGAATACCAGTTATAACTGTTTATAGCTAATAATTAATGTAAATGAAATTTGTTAATATAATTGTGGTAACTGAATTTAGTATTTTGTAGTATAGTTTTCCAAACAACCTTAGTTTTCCCAATGATACTGCAGTAATCTTTCGGAAGATGACAAAATGTAATTATCAAATATAAGTACTATAATGTCAACGCTCGAATAAAGTATTATACAAATGTTTTTAACTAAAATTATTACATGTATAAATTATACATATAAATATGATATAACATTTATGCCATTTAAGTTGCACTGAATATGTATGATCAACCGTAAAATATCATTAAGAATTCCTTGTACTTGTGTATTTTAGCGAGTGTAGCAATGGAGTGATACATTGTATGAATTTGGATATAGTTAAATTCAAAAAAGTATACTGTCAATCTGAGTTACCTTTGCTTCATCGCGTTGCAATTAGTAGCATAACTTCGAAACATGAATACTGGCTAGAAAAATTAAAAAATCATACCGTAGAACTTAATGTAAGAATATTGAGTTAGTACTTGTCAGTATATCATGACTCTTTAGATTAATTCACTAGGAATCTGAGATTCATTAGTTTGAGACATTGCCTGATACGATTTAATGAAAAAAAAACAATTAACATTATGATGTAATATTTTTACTGAATGATAATCTGTCTTGATTATTTCATTATTTAAATTGTATATGATATAATGAAAAATGTTTTCAGAGAATCATTTTGAATAAGTTATGTATAAATCTATCAATATTTTACAACCATGAACAAAACGACATAGAAATAAATGTAATAACCATTTGAAAATATCATTGATTTCATCGAATATATTGTCGTGACTTCTCTGTTATTGTTATAACTTGTCAGTTGAATGTTACTTGTTATATCTGGTCGTCGCTGATTGTTGTGTTGGAAACGCTTATTACGTATACTCGAAACGATGGAACTCTACAATTCCCTCAACACGAAAGTAGACACACAAAGACTGGTATAAGTGAATATTTATTAACCCCAAAACACGACAACGACGACGACTCTAGTCAAAAGTACACTCGTTTATATATTGATTGTACATACACTCTGAATAATAATTAGGATGAAATCACATGTATAAAAAATACTCAGTTATGACAAATCACATACAGAGCAAGAATATGGTATATTATACAGAAATAAAATATCATACTAGAAAAGAAAACCGAATACTACACTAAATGATCATGACATTGAATCAGAAAGGAAGTAATGTTGAACAAAACTCATAATGAGTAAATCATTCGCATTCAGACTTTTCATTCCATCTTATCAGTTATAATGGTATCATGAGCTTATTCTAGTCCATAGATAGATGACTTATTTTGATGTTACTAGTTATTTTTGTACAATTGTATATTTGGTTTTGTTAATTATTCATATGTTTAGTAAAGTATATATGTGTCTATCTACTTATTTGTATTTCATATATACCTATTGAAAATGGAATCATATAAATATTGTATTGTCGAGCTTTAACGCTATATATTTTATACACATAAAATACACATTTCTAAAATATTACTATTTAATCTTGATATTTATAATGTATTAATATGTTTAATTAACACAATCCATCATTCACCATCGTCAATAATGAAGTCAACATTGTGCTGTAATTTATATCTAAATTAGTTGTTTCAAGATTTTTCTGATTACATTTTGCAATTTCATTAAAAATTAATCATAATTCACTGTTTATTCATCTGTTTTCCTTTTTCTGTTTGTTTGTTTTTTTCCTACACTTTTTCAATAGAATCAAATTTATACCAAGTGAATATTTTGGAAATAATCAATTGAAATACAATAATCAATGTAGAATGTTTCCATCAGAACCAAATTTAACAATTAATTAATTAATTAATTAATTAATTAATTAATTAATTAATTAATTACATAATTACCAATAAACTAAATAACTAGTTATCTTCATACTTTATTATTATTATTATTTATTATTGAATTTTAACTAATATTTTTAATTCATCCTTTAAACCTTATTATTATTTTTTGTTTGTTTTAAATATTTCGAAAATAATTAAAAAAAATTAATATGAATATCAAATTTTTATTGTGAAAGTTTAATTTTTTAAAAAAAATAATGAAAGAAAAAACACTTCACATAGTAATTTTTGTTTTAATAACCAAAAACATTTTTAAAAAAAAATAATCTTTTTCATTCAAAAATCAATAATTATTCATTATTATTATAAATAATAATATTACTATTATTAGGTCACAAATGATTTCACATACAAATAATTACACTGATCAACAATATAATTATTTTCCAAAGCCATTTATCTTGAATAAAACTAATACTAATATTAATACTAGTGATAATATTACTAATAAAAGTAATGATAATAATAATAATCATCATCAACTAATACACTTGAATAAGCATTCATCTTCATTTAAATCTATTTTAAACACTGAAACAACATCTAAATTAGATCAATCATTCAGGTCAGTGAAGTTGTGTTGTTGTTTTTCTTTTAAATAATTTTATAATTCATAATTTTATTTGTTATTGTAATTGTTTTCAACAATTTATCTTTGTTCAATTATTTATAAAAAAAAAGGATTTTCTTTTTATTTAGAAAACGTTTTTCATTACATGTGTACATATATATAGATATATTGATTGTTTTCTTTTAATCTAAAAAAAGTTTTTTTTCTTTTAAATTTCCACCAAATACATTTTTGATATCCTTTATAACAACAAAAAATATTGGGAGATTTCGTTTTTTGTTTGTTTGTTTGTTTGTTTCATAACCAGATAGTCATATGATCTATGATACAAGGAAGAGTTTCTTTAGATTATCGAAAGTCCTATGCAGTAATCAGTTGCTTGTTCTGCATTATTTTATCGCTGTAATATATGGAACCAAAAAGTAGTGAATATATCTACGATACAATTATACGGTAAGATATGTCCTCAAGGCATTGATCATATATAAGAGGATCTTTCATTAAGTAGTAGTGTGTTTAGGCCTGAAGTATCTTGTAGATAGAGATTATTAACAGGTTGATGAGGACTTGAACTCACATTGACTGAACTGGTTAAGAAGTCAGTTAACCATGGCCATTCATTCCATATGTTGATTTGAACTAGTAAGTTACGTAGACGTAGAATGCATAAGGGTTAGGAATGGTAAAGTAGAACATGGAACTAGTCACTTTACTCACCAACCGTTAGTTTGCCTAGTGTGTGACAGTAAATTACTAAGCATAAATGAGATAGCTTAGAACAGCGTTTTGTAGGGTAGATGTATTAACTCTTTACATTTTGTTAGTTCTCGAGGTTGATGATTTGCAAATCTCATTCACAAACTGTACTTAATTTTTAGAATTATGATGTATGCTTCTAATCTTATACTATCATCAACACTAGTTTTACTATGATTGACCTTAATCCTGTTAATTGCTTATCGTTTTGCTGACGTAGATTTTGGTAATATAGATAGATACATATAATTTTTGAGCTCCTATATTTTTAAATAATCGACTGACTACTTATCACATTTTAAATAGATTGTAAGGAGACCTGCATCCCACCTGTTACCCTTTTTTAAATTCTATGCGAAGTTATTTATATGTTATGCTTTAAATTATTAGTCGAGGATTGATAAAACTTTTCACAGATTTATAGCTATATATATTAAATGTTTGTGTACTACACAAATTATTACATCACTAGTCAGCGGGATGTTATTTTACTGTTATAACGGAAGATACTATTTGGGTCATGGATGGGCAGTAGATCATTTTACGTGATTGTGGCAGAGTTGTAATTATTTCAAAACTCTGGATTTCTTCATGTAATACACAATGAAAGGATGTCAAACGTTAAAATAAATCAGAAACAATAAATCTTTCCATGCTATAAATTACACACTAAATATGTTTAAAATTCATATTAATGACTAATTATTATTATATTCAAGTTTAGTAGGTCATTTACCAACCTCTGAACTTTAGGCTTCTCAGGTTAATTTATTGCTTGTAACATCTACATATTGATAAGTTCTTACAGAAGATGAGTGGGCAATGCGATAGAGAATATGAAAACCAGTATACGTTTTGACATTGACATCGCTAGATGCCGGCTCATTGGTCTAGAGATTAAGCGTCCGCGCGCGAGACTGAAAGGTTCTGAGTCCAAACCCCGCAAGGCGGGATTGTGGATACTCACTGCTGAGGAGTCCCTTACTGGGACTTCCAGGTTTTCCATGGTGATCTAGCTTCATTTGACTAATGATCTCAACCATTAAAATTACTATAATATCCACAAAAAACCCCTTGTTAAATTAGCCGTAACAGATATTCATGTACAAAATTCATGTTTTATTTATCAGGATAATCCAGAAACATGTAAATATATGTCGTGTACAACATTTTCATATTGAATTTAATACAGTTTATCGCTAGTTATGTAATATCGACAATTTCCTTCTTATATCATTATTCCGCTTATAAATAATATGATCTTCATAAATCTAGATAGCATGCTAAAGTGGATTGCTAATAACGAATTAAACAAAAGTTCTTTTTTTGGAGAGGCTTTAGTCAATTAGATTTAGTATAACAGGTCTTGGATTTCGGCGCGAAATTCACTCACCCATCTGTCCAAATAGCGTCTTGTCATTTTAGCTGATGTCATTTCTTGATGAAAAATCATAAATCTAATTCCTAACCCTAACCGTCAACTGTGAATCATAATCCTTATTTTTCAAACCGCTTTATAACCCTCAGTTAGCCCTAGTAATTAGGTAGACACTCACAAGGTCACTTGAGCGTCACTCAAAGGTCGTCCAAAAATTTAATGTCTCATCCTTTCTCTTCCATAAATGAATGTAAATTGATGGACTTACATTTTAAAATGATCAATTCTATGTTTAATTTAGTGTAATATTCAAATGAAACATAAAATAAAAACTTTATTTACTTATAGTGGATTGCTTCATCTGATCACATCAATGAATAAACATTTATAGTTTTAGGTAAACTCAGTTTTGTATAGTTGTTAACCTTATTTGAATTATACAATTTTATCAAGTAACTTTATTTGATCTTCATTGGTTTTATAAACATCAAACGATTATCCTTGTTATCTCAATATTATTCATTTTCATTCAAATAGTTGACAATAGTTGTTAGATTCATAGAATAATCACCGGCATCCAACGGTGCTAATATCTAACTTCAACTAATCCACGATGTTGTGCTACCGTCCACCATTGTCTTCAGTGAGTAACGGCCTCACAACAGACACAGTTGAACTCCACTGACCACGGCTTCTGAAAAGAACTCAATGAAATTCCTCGTCAAGCCAGTCACTAGTAGACACATGATAAGAAGTACCAGAATTGGCGTTTTGCGGAGTCCCGTGTGACGCATCGTGGATGCGCATTCTCGGACGAAACGGCCGTCCAATGCTCCCAGGTTTTCCGTGGCGGTCTAGCTTCAATTGACTCATGATCTCAACTATTAAAATTACTAAAATATCCACCAAACCTCTTCTGATATTAATCAATATATGCTCACTAGTGACTGGCTTCAAGAGGTATTTCCTGGAGTTCTAGTGAGGAGTGACCAGTGTAGTTCAAATGGGTCTGCTGTGAGATAGTAACTCACTAAAGACAATGATGGTTGGGTCGCTCAATATGTGTAATAATTTTGTTATAGATTATATCAGATTTATAATTTCCTTTTATTTTATAAAGCATTTAGTCTATCGAAATCTAAATTAAATAAGATTTAATGTTTGTTTTTCTATTAAAAAACCGGTATCATTCGGAGAATCGATAAAAATCAAAGAATAAAAATAGATAGCTTGGTTGTTTCAGTTATTAACTAATTAGATTCAATGAAAAGTTAAACCATTACTACAATATTTGTAGGCTGTTATGTCAAGGTCCACCGGTTTACATTTCTGATTCCAATCAATTTTCGTTATAACATGATCGTAAACCCAGTCTGAACAATATGTTACAGTTTTTTTTTAAATTTGATTGACTTCAGGTCAAGATTTCCAGTTGATGTCAGATCAAGCTTAAAATATACGAAAACCGCCACAAATTAACTAATTAAATTATGTAAAAGTTCATTGTAAGTATTGTATTTAGGTATTTGTCTTTTAAGTATGTTTATTTTCTGAGCTGAATAGCTTTAATGTGTAGCTTTGAACGTCTCTTTCGACAGAATCATCAGTACACACTTGGCTAAAAAGTGAGTTATTAGAATTTATCCACGACTGAATAGAAGATTCTTCTGTTATTGCAAAATTTTATTGAGCTACTTCTCGTTCATGTAATTACCGATGACGTAGAGAAAGACAATAAAAGCTCCACGAATAAACCATTTAGTTTACAGAACACAATATCTCCAAAATCTAGATCCTGAAAATATTTTCCACCGTCTCAATAATGTTTTCAATAGCTATAAAACTGAACTATTATACTCTGGTTTAAAGTCATTAATAGGACATTTTCAGGAAATAAGTTGAAAACTCAATATTTCCACTAACATTACTTAACATAAAAAGGACACCAGTAAAACTAGAATTGTATTTATTTTGCTGTTGCTTATTTGATTTAATATCACACTTCTTTAATGTATAATACAATTTCGTTGACATATACAAAAGTGATATGTTTTTCACTCAAGTCTTCTTTTGTCTTAAAAATATATTCATTTTCAAATTTTTAGTTAATTTTTTAGTAAACACGACCTGGTTATCGATTTGGTCAACTTTGTATTCTAGATAAAGATCAAGCAGTAAGTTCAAAATAAATACAAGTCAAAAGAACTGATTGTTCTAGAAAAAAACGGATCCTAGGTTTCGTTGTAAATATATTCTTCGTGCTTAACCACATTCATCTACATGCCTACAGTTTGAACGAAGTCAGCTGATACAATTTAAAATGAATCATTATATGATTATTTCATAGATTTATCATCAGTTATAGTCCAATAGGACTGCCTGCAATTTCTTCTTTTAATTGATTATAAATTTCACCATTGAACTTAGACTCATTGTGCATAAGTACTGTAACTTCTGTATAGAATTCGATACTAAACTTCGTTCTATTTTATTCTAAACATACCCTCTAATCTTCATCAAGTGAACATTAGAAAAAAATGGTGTTAATATCCAACTTTAGACATTATATGGTTGTTTAGTTTCTTTCAATACATTATTCGTGTCCTTCAAGGATGATGTTTTGTTGTAATAGTTTAAGTATATAAGCAACTAATCCAGTCATTTTATAACACGATAAGTTCAACTTATTGGACTGATCATACTTGTAGATTAGGTGGATGAATTTAATAAGTTCATATAACTTAGGTAAATTTGTTTCGACATACTAAAAGATTCTAAAAAAGAATAAATGAAATTTCATTTTACAACATAACGAAGATTTCAATGAGCTAGGGAACTTCTCTATGGTCGCTGTCTATTT